GCACCGCCAAAATATTTTTCTTTTTCTTCTCACTTGACGGGCTTCTTTAAATTTTTTTCGACTCCCTTTTTTTTTAGCGGTGTTGCAGTAAGTTTACGGTGGTGCGCAAGGCGCAACGGCCACGCGGCGTTGCCGCCGCCCTGCCAGACCTGTGTACACACTTGCGCTAAACAGAGACGTAAATGAACCCCCTCCCTCCCTCCCCCCGGACCCGCCTCTGGCATTACGCGGCATTACAAGCTGTGATAAGAGTGGACGGCCCACATGAGTGGGAGGGAGGGGGGGGGATTCAGAAGGGTGCAAATCTCCGGCGCGCTTGTTTTGAAACGCAGGCGGCACATTGTTTCTCGTCCGAGTGCGAACCGACGAGAAACATAATTTAAAGTCTTCAAGGTCGATGTGGGTGAGGAGTTAAACTTTCCGCCGGTCACTCTCTTACAGTATTTTTCTTTTTTTCAGGCTAGGTAGATGAGCCTTTACTTGATGGTATCAGCATTATATTACGCACCCGCACCCTGCAGACCTTTTCAACGCGTCCCTCCGCACGGCACGCCACGGCCTACAGTGGGCCAGAAGACCGGTGGAGGCGGTCAAAATCCCGGACGCTTTGTGAGCTCCACGGTCGCTAAATGAGACTCGAACCCTGCTCGAACCGAACGTGTGACCTCACCAAGAGATTGCTCTCCACACGAGGAACCCACTGGTGGGGTCACACGTTCGGTTCGAGCCCTGTTTAGCGACTCTGGAGCTCAAAACACGCCTAGAATTTTGGCCGGTCTGCTGGCCCACTGTGCGGCCATCACGGCCACAGGCTTGTTAGGCCGAGGCAGGCATATCTCATCTGCAGCACTGATTCCGAGAGTCGTTTTCGTCGCTCCGTCTCTCTCGCACTCAAGTGGCGTCCCGCATAGGTGCGCGAGAGACAGAGCGACGAAAACGACTCTCGGAATCAGTCTGCTACGGCTGGTAGTAGCGCGCCCTGCCGCTGGTCGCACGTACTTTAATAGCCTGCCCGGGACGTCCCCTGGAAGAGTAATTATATTTCGTAAACAAGCAGCCGGGGTCTCCTTGCGTCTTGCGGCGCCGCTTGGTTCCGAATCCGCTCGAGAAAGAAGGTTCCACTGATATACACTCTCAAACGTCTTCGTTACCTTTTTATGGCACGAAGGTGCCTTTGGTCTTACAAAGTCGCCTTGGTATGTCTTGGTGACAGTTGCTTTCGAGACTGACACAGGTACTTCTTCACTAAGAATTTGCGCTCGCTTGTTCATGGTAACACCCAACTTGTTGTTTTTTTTCTGTCCGGAAGTACTTGCGAGATGAAAGGAACTCTCGACCGGATGCAAAAATTGTGCGGGAGGGTTTAGTTTCGAGTGCGCGCCAACTTGTGGGTAAGCGACGGCGCGAGGTTTGAATACGGAAACTGGCGGGGGCCGCCCGGTGGGTCGCGCGCTGGCAGAGGCCACGGTGGGGGCCACGGCGGCGAGGTCATGGTGGAGGCCTCGACGGCGAGGTCATGGTGGAGGCCATGGTGGAGGCCACGGCGATGAGGCCATGGTGGAGGCCACGGCGGAGGCCACGGCGGAGGCCACGGCGGAGGCCACGGCGGCGAGGTCATGGTGGAGGCCACGGCGGAGGCCACGGTGGAGGCCACGGCGGCGAGGTCATGGTGGAGTCCACGGTGGAGGCCATGGTGGAACCCGCCCAGGATGGAGGCCACGGCGGTGAGGCCACGGCGGAGGCCCTGATGAGAAGGTTCGGAGTCCAGTAATTAGAGTCGCATCACACGAGGGGCCGAGGCAGCCGAGGCCAAGGAGCAACTCTTTACTTGTCCGTCTCGGCCCCCTCCCCCGCCCCTCCCCTCCTTTTTTGTGGGGTCGGGAGTGGATCCCCTTCACTGTGCAACATAATGAGCTGGCTGCGGGAAAAACAAAGAGCTTCATCTAAACTTGTAGACCGGGGGGAGGGGTGGGAGAGTGAGAGAGAGAGGGGGCGACGCGATACGAAATGCATTCCGTGGCGTGGCGGCGGCGGCGTGCCCGGCCGTGCCCGGACGTCCCTCGTGTTTGCGCCGCGCCGTGCCGCGCCGTGCCGCGCCGTGCCGAGCCGTGCCGCGCCCGTCCTGTGGCCACAGCAGGCAGCGCGGCAGCGCAGCCAGTAAACCCCTGGGCGAAACCTTGTTATGCAACCGGGCGTGTGCAGGCGTGCAGGCTCACCCCCGAAACCCAGTCCACCCAGTCCGCCAGCCAGTCCCAGCGCGGCGCCGCGGACGAAAACACAGCAGTACACACACACACACACACACACACACACACACACCGTACACAGACATGCCTTGCCCTCCACCAGGTAGCGGATGGTATTGGTTCTGAGTGTGTGTGTGTGTGTGTGTGTGTGTGTGTGTGTGTGTGTGTGTGTGTGTGTGTGTGTGTGTGTGTGTGCAGGACGTACGTGTCGCGGGCTCCACACACCCACGGACATAATTAAGTCGCAAATGTGAGACACGAGAGAGAGAGAGAGAGAGAGAGAGAGAGACGCGTCTCTGGCGTGCCAACGTGTAAAGTAAAGTCCCGCCTCTCCGCGGGAGGGCACTGCGCTCGCTCACGCGCTGGTCCCTCCGAATGCAAATCGCTTTTTGAGCATGTGTGTGTGTGCGTATGTGTGTGTGTACCTGCCTGCGTGCCTGAGCGTGGGTGCGTTTTATATTTGTCCCTGCGGTTCAGTTTGTGCGGTGGTGGTACCCGTGGCCGCGCCCGTGGCGTGCGCATCGGCAGGTCGTCTGGGTGAGGGCGTTCATGCGCGGCGGCCGCCCCGCCCCACCCCGCCCCGACAGGTGAGGCACGTAGCCAGTTGTTGTTGGCTGGCTAATAAGTAGTCCCTTTGCGCGGCTCCCCGCGCCGCCACGCCGCGCATCCTGGAGTAGGCAGTGTCCTGCCGGACAGACATTGCCTATCTCTCTCTCTCTCTCTCTCCCCCCCCCTCTCCTCTCTCTCTCTCTCTCTCCTCTCCCCCCTCTCTCTCTCTCTCTCTCTCTCTCCCCCCCCCCCTCTCTCTCTCCTCGCCCAACTCCTTCATCCTTCTGCTCGCGAGTAATGAGTCAACCGCAGGGCTGTTGTCGGTGCTCGAGCACTGCAAGGGCTTGGACCCCCCGCCCCCTCCCCCTCCGCCTTTCTTCCTTCTTCTTTTCCGGGGCCACCCGGCCTTCCCCCAACTCGTCAGGCACTGCGCGCGAACTTGAATCAGAAAATCGCAATAGCTCGCTTCTGTTTATAATCTGATAAGAAAAGTTGTCTCGCTCTATCATTCACATTGAGGCCTGCTTCCATTACGGCCGCAGCTCTCTCTCTCTCTCTCTCCTCCTCTCTCTCTCTCTCTCTCTCTCTCTCCTCTCTCCCCCCCTCTCTCTCTCTCCTCTCTCTCCCCAAGATAAAAAGAACAAGACTTGGCGAGTCGGCAACGGAGAAGGGGCCCCTCCAATTGGGCCTCGAGTCGGTGAAGTTCGTCAGGGTGCTGCTGGCGGCAAGGCCGTAGCTCCCCCAGCGAGCGACATTTTTAGTTTCCGTCTGGTTTTGGTGCCATCTGGCGGCAGGTTTGCACCACCGTGACGACCAAGAAGAGCCCCGCCGCGCGCCGCGCCGTCATTAACAGCGGCGAGAAACAAAAACCAAAACTATCGCTTATTTTCGTTTCGAATTAATTTACATAAATTATGGCCGTTTTTGTGTTGTTGTTTTTTTCGCTTCCTCTGGGTCGTGATTGCTCATGGAGTGCTCCGCGGACGCTGCCGGCTGGTGTCGAGAGTACCCCCTCTCTCCCTTCTTCTCTCTCTCTCTCTCTCTCTCTCTCTCTCTCTCTCTCTCTCTCTCTCTCTCTCTCTCTCTCTCTCTCTCTCCCTCTCTCTCTCCCTCCCTCTCTCTCTCTGTCTCTCTCTGCAGGGAGGGGCTCTATTTGCGTCGGTCTAGCCCCGTGAAGAGAGTGATTAGTGCCGTACGTCAAACTACCCTTCCTACAACTGCCTGCCTGCCTGATCGCCTGCCCGTCTGTCTGTCTGCCTGCCCGTCTGTCTGTCTATCTGTGTCTGCCTGCCTGTCTGCCCGCCTGCCTACTTGGCTTGCGTGGTTCGGGGAAGACAGCACAACCAGCGACACTTGCCACTTACCTCTTATGCGTCTTCTGCTCGTTACGGGACCTTGTTAGAAAGCATTGTTTTTCCACAAACAAAATCACAACAAACATCTCGGTTAAAAGAAAAATCGCCAAAAGAAAAAATTGGTGAAAGAAATCTGTGTGGTTCGCCACCCCCTACTGTCGTCACGGCCTTGGGCGTTACAAGCCACAACTTTGACGGCTGGCTGCATGAGCGCTTCGAGTCGGGGGCAATCAATCAAGTCAGCCGTTTGTGTGTGTGTGTGTGTGTGTGTGTGTGTGACTGCGACGAGCCCCACTTCCCACCTTAGTCGCTGCGAAGAAGGGCGGTGCGTTCTAGTTGAGCGATCGCAGCTACTCAGCGACTCCCCCCCCCCGCTCTCCCCCTGTTCCTTTTACCCCTTCCCCCGAAAACCTCCCCACAATCCCCACGTTGGTGTGTGTGCCCCTCCTCCCCGCCGCGAACAGATTTTCCCCCTGCACGAAAAAAAAATCAGCGGGGGAGTCGAACGCGGAACTTTGGAGTGGAAGTCGACACCTCTGCCCACGCGGTCACGGTGACACGCCGGGCGGACGGGGCGCAAATTTGGCCGCTCTGGCTGGTAATTGAGGCCGTGCTTGCGGTGTAGGCGCCGTGGGCCGAGGCGGCCGAGGCGGCCCAGGCCATGAAGTGCCGCGGGGAGGAGGAGCACCGAGGCCGCAGGCCAGGGCACTTGATTGGGAAGTTTCCAGCTCGGTGGAGGTCGGAGCCCGCGGAGCGCGGAGCCCTCGGCGGAGCCGCAGCCACGGGCAGAGGTGAAAAACCGCGTCGGAATCCCAGGGATTTGAACCCGCGACCTTCGCTTTTGTTCCAGGATCCGCGGTGGTGGCGCGGGTGACCCGCGAGGAGGCGCTCATGGTCTCAGACACCGTGGCCGTCGAGATCACGCCGCAGAACGTCATCGTGGCCAAGTTCATCGGCGACAACTACGTGGCCTCGTGCAACACCAGCGACGGCTCCAAGCCGCGGTGGTTCGCGGGCCGCGGCGGAGCCGCCATTCAAGGCACCAGCGGAGGGTGAGTATAGGCGCTCGGCTGAGGTTGCACAGTGGATTTGCCAGAAGACCGGTGGAGGAGGCCAAAACTCTAGATGCGTTTTGAGCTCCAGAGTCGCTAAATGGGACTCGAACCGAACGTGTGACCCCACCAATGGATTGCTCTCCGAACGTAGAATCCATTGGTGGGGTCACACACTCAGTTTGAGTCCTGCTTAGCGACTCTGCAGCTCAAAACGCGTCTAGAACTTTAGCGGTCTCCACCAGCTGAGTCCTGTGTTTGTTGTAGTTGCTTACTCGAACGCTAGAGGTCTGCTGAGGCCTAACAGCGCTCATGGTGATGGCCACCGGGTTTCTGGTGGACTGTGTGGCGCGAGGGGGGAGGGGGATTCAACGCCCGGTGATTCCATTTTTTTTTTCACCGCCGCCACAGGTGCGGACAGTGGCCTGCAATGAGAGAGTGTCCCGTCTATTTTGTTTCGATTGCGACCGAATCGGCCCCCAATTACGGTTTGCCCCTAACTAACTGGCCCTTGCCCGGCATGGACATGTCTGCCAGCCGTGGGCAGGGAGCAAGTTTTTTCAAGAGGGTGGGCGGGGAGTGGGGGCGGCGGATCGCCCCCGGCGCAGCAGCGCGCGCCCCCATACCCCTCGGTGTCCCTCCCAACAAAAACACGCCATTACCGTTGGAGTACTCCATTTTTGTGGTTGCCTACGAACGCGTGCTGCTGGTGTCGCTCAAAGTGCATTCCTCCTGGGCAAACTCCCCTTCCAGTGGCGTGGCTATTTTCAAACAAATCCCCGCAGAAATGGGAGTCGTGCGGCGATCGGAACGGCGTGCGCTGTCTCACTCCTCTCTCTCTCTCTCTCTCTCTCTCTCTCTCTCTCTCTCTCTCTCTCTCTCTCTCTCTCTCTCTCTCTCTCTCTCTCTCTCTCACCCTCTCGCACACCAACACACGTACGTGCGCACTCGGAACAATCTCGGCGAACATGGCACGGCGCGGCACCCTTTGGCGCGTCGAAAAACAGGCTCCACCTTTGTAACATTGTCGAAACAAAGTCGAAGCAAACTCGCGCCACCGCGAACGGCATTGCAATTAATTCCAAGGGAGATGAGAGAGGGAGAAAAACTGCAGAGAGAGAGAGAGAGGGAGAGAGAGAGGGAGAGAGAGAGACTGGAACTACATAAGGGTTTGCTTCGGAAAGTGGCATTGTGTTCTACACGCCTCTTGTTCTTGTTTTTTCGTGTTTGTTTCTTCTCTGTTTTTGTTTTGGTTTTTAATTTTGGGAACGATGAGATGAGTCAGTGGTGAAAAGCACCGGCTTCTTTTTTAACAACGGTGGTTCTCTCCGCGCAAGTCAGTACGACATGTCTACTCCTAAGCCGCACAGCGGCAGAGCGACTCAGAGCGCGGCGCCTTCGTCGCTCTGTCTCTCTCGCACTCTCTGGCGTCGCGTGAAGGTGCGAGAGAGACAGAGACGCCTCGCGGACTCAGTCGACAGGCAGCAGCAGCTCAGGAGCGGCAGCAGACTCATTCCGAGAGTCGTTTTCGCCGCTCTGCCTCTCTCGCACTCACGCGGCGTCCCGTGTAGGTGCGAGAGAGACAGAGCGACGAAAACGACTCTCGGAATCAGTCTGCAGAGTAGCGGCGGGGAATCTGAAATGCGGGAGCGAATAATGTGAAGAAGACGGCGGAGAGACGAGCGAGAAATAAAACGGAGGCACGAGGGAGAAAGACGGAGAAAGGAGAAGTGTGTCTCACTTTGGCATGCAACGTGATACAGCCAACGCAGCTCCATCCATCTATCTACCTGTCCGTTCGAGAGCGGCCCGCCTTCCTGCACAGTGGGCTAGAAGACCGGTGGAGGTGGTCAAAATCCCGGCCGCGTTTTGACCTCCAGAGTCACTAAATGGGCCTTGAACCGGACGTGTGACCCCCACCAATGGATTGCTCTCCGAACGAGATACGAGGTATTCATTGGTGGGGTCACACGTTCGTTTCGAGTCCCATTTAGCGACTCTGGAGATCAAAACGCGTCTAGAGTTTTGGCCGCATCCACCGGTCTTCTAGCCTACTGTAGCCTGCCTCGCTGGCAGTCGGTCGCCGCGATTCAATATCAACATCGTTAGGACGTTTGTGATTTGGGGAATATTCTGAGATTGCTTTCAAGCGAACTGCAACCGAATTGAAGTCGATGAGACCTGCATTTTTCAGAGTGATGAGTCCTTTCCCGAATCAAAGAGCAGCGCCGGAGCGATTACGCGGCGCCGGCCGTAAATTATTGAGATTCCTAGAAGCTGTTTCGATACATCGATCGAACCGGGCGCGTGTCGGCGATGCCTGCGTCAGAGAGAGAGAGAGAGAGAGAGAGAGAGAGAGAGAGAGAGAGAGAGAGAGAGAGAGAGAGAGAGAGAGATGAATGCTTCTGTGACGGTGGATTTGTTGAATTAGGTTTCCAATATCCCTTCTTGGAATTCACCGTTCACTCCGTAAAACTTCCTGGACAAAATTATTATTTTCAGAAGCAGCCTGAGCGGGGAGCCTCGCTCGCAAAACAGCACCGCACATTACACTGAACTCGATGGTGCACGCACAAATTCCCCACCGAGTACAAGGCACTCGACTTTGTGCCAAATAATACCGTTCCTGCTTAAAGAGAGGAAACCATTTAACCGAATTTAACGGACGTTAAGTTACCCGAGGGTTTGTCATGTCAGGGCGTCGTCAGTCGGACACGTGGCGCGTTTCAAAAACAAAAAATAAGTTTTTACATTTTCCGGCCCGTGGATGATGCGTCCCGTCCTGTCTGCCACCTGTCGGTGCCCTCCGCGCCGCACACACTCTTTTTTTTAACAGTGGCGGTGCGTTCTGGCCAGCGGAATGATAAACCGGCGGTGGTCTGGCTATCGATTCCATTCATTCCTCCACTTCTTGCCACACGTGGAGGGGCGAGGGAGGGGCGGCCCACTAATGCGGCTGCACGTAACGATTCAATTTGAGGTATCAATGTGTATCAGCGTGTATCAGCCGGCACGCTATGCACGCTACCACCACTACGTGCCGTGAGCTTGCTGGCGGTCTTCTTTCAATCATCTTCGTCGTTTCATTCTTTTTCATTGTTCGGTTTTCTTCGTTTCTCTTCTCTCTTCTCCGTTAGATTTAGGTTTCTTTTGTCTACTTCTTCTACTTCCTCTTCTTCCATTATTTTCTCTTTTTCTTCTCCCCTCGCTTCTCCCTCCTCTTCCTCCTCTTTTTCTGTCTCCTCTCCCTCTTCCTCCTCCTTTAATCTCTCTTCGCTTCGGCCGCCACTTTAAAAGTGTAAATATAAGTCCATCAATGCCCGGGTCCCTGGGCGTGCCGTTTTTAAGTGCAATTAAGAATGGATTCGCGTCCGCTTCCAGCCTGGGCAGCGCAGCCCGGCAGCCGGCCAGCCAGGCAGGCAGGCAGCCAGCCCAGACGGGTTCCGGCGTAAAGTTGGCGGCTGCAGGGGGAAGGGGTGGGAGAGAGGGAGGGGAGGGGGGAGTCGGTGGAATGAGAGATCGGAAAGACAAGAGAAGGCGCAGTTTCTTGCGGCAGCCCAGCCGCCCCGAGGGCAGTAGTCGGCGGTAAATGGATGATAAAAATTCCACGACGCCTGACCCTCTCCCTCTCACCCCACCCCCTCTTGGTCTCGCTCTTTTGTCTTCTGGGAGTGGTGTGGAATTCCACTCGCCTTTATCCTGTTTTCCACTTTTGCGACATAAAATATTTGGGTTAAGTGCACCGAGAGATTCGAGCGGTCCGCTCCCAAAGTTGCAGTTGCGTGAAGTTGAGCCGGGGGGGGAGGGGGGGATGTAGGGCTATGGCCGTTGGTATAGCCGCTGACCCGTAGCAGTCGCCGGAGAAGACGGTGGTGAGTCGTCGGCGAAGGGCCGTGCCGTGGGACAGAAGCCGCCTTTGGTGAAGCCTTTGGTGAAGCCTTTCGAGAAGCCTTTCGAGAAGTCTTTGGTGTGGCCTTTGGTGAAGCCTTCGGTGAGGGTAAGGCCTTTAGTGAGGCTTTTGGTGAAGCCTTTGGTGAGGCCTTTGTTGAAGCCTTTGGTGAAGCCTTTGTTGGAGCCTTTAATGGAGCCTTTAGTGAAACCTTTGGTGAAGCCTTTGGTGAAAACTCCGTGACAGCAGTGCCAATTGTGTGCATGATGGTGATAAAATGTGAACAAACTGGCTGGCCCGGGCTGGCCTCTATCGTTGTTGCTCCGCCACCATGGTGCTATGTTGCCGCCAGCGTGGCGCCGAGCTGTCGTATCGGCTCGGTTAATACTTCACCGCCGCGTTCTCGCCTGCGTGCTCGCGCACCCTCCGCGGCCCGAATCCGAACACAACGGCGTCGCTCTGTCTCTCTCACACTCACGGGCCGCCTCCCGTCGGAGTGCGAGAGAGACAGAGAGGGGGGGCGGGCCAGCTTGTGGAACACGCTGTACCGTACACCTACACTGATTGCCGCGGCATTGCCGCCAAGTGGCTGCACTCCGGCCGAGGCATCGTTTATCATCAAATGCCCCCCTCCCCCACCCCAAGCGCGCGCGGCTGACAATACCGCGCCTTCCTGCCCCCCTCCCCCTCTTTCTCTCCCTCTCGCCTCACTCTCTCTCTCTCTCTCTCTCTCTCTCTCTCTCTCTCTCTTTCGCTCTCCCTAATGCCTGTCCACTTTCAACTTGTGTGCTCTCTCCTGGCGCACCCTCAACGAGCGCCTGCGAAGCGGCGGGTAGGCGGGCCCGCGCGACATAGCTGTGTTCGAGTTGCCTACCCTCGACTTCGCAGGGGCCCGCCCGCTGCACTGCCAATCGGATACGGGGTGAGAGAGAGAGAGAGAGAGAGAGAGAGGAGAGAGAGAGAGAGAGAGAGAGAGACCCGCTCGTTCCTCTTAGCGCGATGAACAGAGCGGCGAAATTGCCACAAATTACGACATAATAACCGAGTGGTGGAAAAAAACCGTGGCGGTAGTATAGTGCCTTCTCGACGCTCTTCTTGTCGGTGTTCCGGAGCCACACAGTGGGCCAGAAGACCGGTGGAGGTGGTGAAACCTCTCGACGCGTTTTGAGCTGCATAGTCGCTAAATGGGACTCGAACCGAACGTGTGACCCTACCAATGGATTCCTCGTTCGGAGAGCAATTCATTAATGGGGTCACACGTAAGGTTCGAGACCCATTTAGCGCCTTTAAAGCTCAAAACGCGTCTGGAATTTTGCCGCCCCCGCGCCGGTCTTCTGGCCCACTGTGCGCTGGTCGGCGCTGCTTGGCGGTGCTGCCCTCTACCTGTTGGGGGCGTAATTCAATCCACAGCAGCCGGCAGGGCTGGCGCAGGGCTGGCCGGCCCGGCCACTCCATCATTCCCGGACTAGTGCGCCGCGCGCTGCGCGGGGCAGCCCGCCCTCGGCTGCCTCGGCTGCTCGGCCCGCTCCGATCCATTTCGGCACCCGTAGCAAGCGTCGCTCTGTCTCTCTCGCGCCGCCGCGGGACGCCGCGGGACGCCGCCCGAGTGCGAGAGAGACAGCGGCGAGCCCGGCGGCGCAAGGATCGCCCCGAGATCGCGGCCCGATTGGGCGACACCGATTTGGACTGGCCTCGCGTTCCATGATTGGTCGCTGCAGGGGCGGTCCGGGGCGGTCGGCCCGGGGGAGGGAGGGGGAATTTTGATGACGAATGCTGTTTCTTGAACCGACTGCTGCAGTGCGGCTGAAACTCTAGACGCGTTTTGAGCTCCAGAGTCGCTCGATGGGACTCGAACCAAACGTGTGACTCCACCAATGGATTCCTGGCTCGGAATGGTCACACGTTCAGTCCGAGTCCCATTCAGCGACTCTGGAGCTCAAAAAAACGCGTCTAGTTTTGGCTGACTCCACTGGTTCTGGACCACTGTGAGTCGCTTTGAGTGTTGAATATGCCTCGTTGTTGCAGCACGGCGGTGTCCGGCACGGTGTGGCGCGGCCCCACCGGCGGTCTGCAGATCTACATCAGCAAGATCAACAAGGCCGACCGCGGCGAGTACTGCTGCCGCATGACGGACGGCAAGCGGCCCGCGGAGCGCTGCTTCGAGCTCACCGTCAAAGGTAAGGCACTTTCATCATTTTAGTTTTAGACAAAGTTGTTTTTTTAGACACATTAATTTTTGACAAGGATTTTTTGGTAAGGATTATTTGTCAAGGATTGTTTCTTTGACATGGTTAGTTTTGGCGAGATTTTTTCAACAGGGCTTTTCCTTGTGGCTTTATGACAAGTTTTTTTTTTACAAAGTATTTTGACAAGGGGTTTTTGACAAGTTTTTTTTGGTATGAGGTTTTTTCATCACGGTTGTTTCGACACGGTTTTTCAGGAAAGTTTTTTTTTTTCAAGGATTTTTGTTACAGGGTTTTTACATGGTTTTCACAAACAACTTTTTACAACAACTTTTTTTTTGCAAGTTGTTTTTGACAGAGTTTTTGATTTGACAAGGTTTTTTTTTTTCAACAAGATTTTTTTAAAATTGTGACAGGGTCATTTTGACAAGTTTTTTTTGTAATTTCTGAGCTTGAACCTTCGGTCTGCGCAGAGCCCATCGAGTTCCTGGACACCCCGACTGAGCAGACGGCCACGGAGGGCAACCCGGCCATCATCAAGTGCGAGGTGACGGGCGACCCGCAGCCCGAGATCCAGTGGAAGGTCCGCGGCCAGCCCTGGAACGGTGAGTCGAGTCTCTCTCGCACCCACGGGGCGGCGCGTGAGGCGAGAGAGAGAGACAGCGACTGCGGCCGGCGTGCCGACGACGAGGACGGGCGACGACGCGCGTTTGAAATTCGAATCTAGTGTCGGGGGAAATTCAGAGTGACGGTGCTGGAGCGTGGCGTCGCTGGGAGGGAGGGGGCGGGCTGACAGTGGAGGTGCGAAGCGGGTTCAGGTGTTACCGTGCAGCCGGGGACAAGCAGACGGAAAAGTGGGCAGGCTGACAGGCAGACAGACAGGCGGACAGAGCAGTGTGCAGTGGAGCGCGCGTCAACACGCCACTGCACACGACGCCCCGTTCCACCCCGCCCCGCCCCGCCACTCCAAGCAAGCCAAGTCGGTGATAGGTTGCTACGTGTTTGGCGCGTGCGGCGGCCCCGCGGCGGCCTGGCCGGAGCACTGCACGTCTCGGACGTGCGCGTCGCCGTGCGGCCAGACGTGCCTCCAGGTGGACTTGGAGGCGGGCCTGGAGGTAGACGCCGGGGGACTCCAGGACGAGCAGAGAGAACCACCGCACTGGGAGAGAGGGGAACTGGCAAACCGGGCAGCTCAAGTGTGGCGTCGTCGGCGGACGGTGGGCTAGAGAACCGGTGGGAGGCGGTCACAAAATCCCGGACGCGTTTTGAGTTCTGGAGTCGCTTAATGGGACTCGAACCGAACGTGTGACCCCACCAATGGATTGCTGTCCGAACGAGGAATCTATTGGTGGGGTCACCTGTTCGATTCTTGTCCTTTTAAGCGACGATAAAACGCGTCTAGAGTTTTGGCCGCCTCCACCGGTCTTCTGGCCCACTGTGTGTCGTCGTCCTCTTCCTCGTCGTCGTGCCGGCCACGCAACTTCAAGAGTACAAAGTGAGAAACAGCAACAACGACAGAAACAACAACAACAACAACAACAACAAGCAAAATGTAAAATTCGTCGAGTCTTTCTCCGTTTGTGGAGTGTAAGTTCGGCCCGCCCGCGGCGCGGCGCAGGGCGACGCTCCCGTTGAGAATGCACCCTTTTCGAAGGCGTTAGTGTCTACCCTCTTCCCCGGCGCGCCGCGCGGCGTGTCGACAGCCACGAAGACGGAGCAGCTGCGTGCCATTTACATACGGCTGCGAATAAGCCGCTAGTGTGTCTGCCGAGAGTCGTCTCTCTGTCTCTCTCGCACCTGTGGGGGACGCGCCATGAGTGCGAGAGAGACGGAGCGAAGAAAACGACTCCAGTCTGCAGTCGATAATATGCAAGCTCGAGCTTCAAATAATGACCCCCCCCCCTCTTTCTCTCTCTTCTCTCTCTCTCTCTCTCTCTCTCTCCTCTGCCTTCTGGTGCTCCTATTCTGGAGGGAGAGAGAGCGCCGCCAGCAAGGACCTCACAGATACAGTCACACACACCACACACACACACACACACACACACACACACCACACACAACCAGACAGACAGGCAGCCAGACATGCACACACACACACACACAAGATGCAGGCAGGGGGATTACATTCTACTTTCAGCCCCCTCTCCCCCTGTTCCTCGCTTCTTTTCCCGTGATGCTTTTCCGCCCGCGACTCGCCCCCCCCCCTTTTGTTCGGACGTGCTTGCGTGGCGGTGTGACTGCGCCCTTTTGTGTGTGTGTGTGTGTGTGTGTGTGTAGATGGCCTTCGGGCAGGGCATGGCGGCAGTATGGGACTTCAGTTGGCAGCGCTTACGGCGCGTGGTATGCACTCCACACACGCGCGCGGCGCGCCCTCTCCTCTCTTTCTCTCTCTCTCTCTCTCTCTCTCTCTCTCTCTCTCTCTCTCTCTCTCTCTCTCTCTCTCTCTCTCTCTCTCTCTCTCTCTCTCTCTCTCTCTCGCTCCCTCTTTTATCTGGGCGCTCTGTCGCACGCGCGTGCGGTGCCATATGCAGAACGGGGGCCGCGTGGTCGTAACCGCCAAATAATAAGGAAACTTGCGATGCTTTAGATTCGACGCGGTGATACGGGACGGGCAGGCAGATGCGTTTGGCGCCGCCGCACCCCGCCGCGCCCCGCCGCGCCCGCGCCTCTTGGAGGCCTCTCGGAGGCCCCCAGGCCCCTTCCAGGCCCTTCCAGACGCTTCCAGGCGCTATTTACAGTTTACTAGTGCGGTACGTGCTCGGCGCGGCACGGCTGCGGTCTCCGCGGCAACGCGAGCATGCGCCAGCACCGCCCGCCACCCTTATCAGTGCGTTATCCGACCGTATGCGGGGCGGGGCGGGGCGAGGCGAGTGCGGGAAATTCAAATGCTGCGGTCTCACCTTCTCCAGCACCTCCAGCCTGGGAGTGCTGGGATGGGAAACGAATGCACACGTAGGACTTGCCGCCGCCTCGCCGCCTCGCACCGTCGAACCTTGGGACCGTTTGGAACAGGCGCACAGTGGGCGAGAAGACCGGTGGACGCGGCCAAAACTCTAGACGCGTTTTGACTTCCAGAGTCGCTAAATGGGACTCGAACAGAGCGTGTGACCCCACCAATGGATTGCTCGTTCGGAGAGCAATCCATTGGTGGGGTCACACGTTCGTTTCCAGTGCCTTTCAGCGACTCTGGGGCTCACAACGCGTCGAGAGTTTTGGCCGCCTGCATCGGGCTTCTGGTCCACTGTGAGGCGGAGCGCATCACCACTGCTTAAGCGTCGGAAGTGAATAGCGCATAGTGTCAACCCAAATCAGTACACTTTAAAAACAAACTTGAACTTTGTTGACAAAAAAAAAGGACTTAATTTTCTAAAAAAAATAAAACAAGCGGTTTTTTCTTTCATGTTTTTAACGGTTCTTCATTATTTTTATTGTTATTACGTAGTTATATGGTTTGCCCTCGCGTTTCGCCCCGTAACAGTGGCAGGCGCTTGCAAATGTTGCCACTCCACCCTAAAAAAATGACACAACGCCGCGTGTCCCAGAGAGTCCCCATTGTGCCCTCCAGCCTCGCTCCAACTCGCCCCGGCGGCTCCAGCCTTGGCTGCAGCCGCCCCGAACGGCCCGCTCTGGACTGCCGGACTGCGGACCGAGAGCCCTTTTCGACGCTCCGTCCCTCTCGCACTCATGGGGCTTCCCGCATAGGTGCGAGAGAGGCAGCGCGACGAAGACGACTCTCGGAATCAGTCTGCTGCTGGACCATGCTGGACCATGCTGGACACTGGGGCAATCGGAGTTCACGGCTGATCCGCCCTGGTTATGTTTCCGCGCCCGGAGTGGCACACTGTCAGCGACGAAGATTAATTTTTCCGCCACTTTCGTCAAACGGAAAAAATAATAAAGTGAGGACGCATATCGTTTCGATTGATTGGATCGCCGATTGGTATAACCAGTCGCACCCCTCCCTCGTTCTGCGCGGACAAGACTTTTTTTTTTTTTTTTTGGGGGGGGGGGGGGGAAACGTACTTCACCTTTTCGCACGTTGGCCAACATGATGCCTTAATTGGCAGAAGTGTTTCTCTCGCTGCGCGTTGGCAATCCCGATGGCAATACACGTCCCGGTCGTCACGGGAGTCGTTGCGTCTCTCTCTCTCTCTCTCTCTCTCTCTCTCTCTCCTCTCTCCCTCTCTCTCTCTCTCTCTCTCTCTCTTTTACTCTCTCTCCCCCCCCCGCCTTCCAATTAGGAACCTCCTGTCAAAGAAGCGCTTTTTTTTTGCTCTGTCCCAATTCTTACTTTTCTCCTTTTCGTTTATTGGGCGAGCAGCGCTTCGTGAGTCGGCGGTACAGCCTCTATGCAGGCGAAACATTCTTCCAGGCGTAGAGTTAGCGCCCACCCTCGCGTCTTGTGCAACGCCGTAAACCCCCCCCCCCTCCCCCTCCCCCACCCCCACCCCCTTTCACCCTCGGCAGTCCCATCCATTCTGGACAAGGTACAGATCCCAGCCCTCCCGCTAACTAGCCAACTATGTAGGCAGCAACTGCAAAGTGCTGGGGACACGCCCCGCCCCGCCCCGCCCCGCCCCGCCATGCGGTGCAGAAAACGCGCCCACACCACTCCGGTTTCCATTGCACAGTATCTTGCCCCGCGCATGCAGACACAACGCGCGCAAAACCCGAACCCCGCGAAAAAAAAATTGAATCTCATATATTTTAATTTAAAAAAAATCGTTTTTTGGGGGAAGAAACTAGATTATGGATTGGCAGCAGAACATTTATCCGTGCTTTCACCGTTGTAAAAAACAGCAACGACAAAAATGCTGTCTGTAAAGTAAGTCCAGGAGAGAGGGAGAGAGAGAGAGAGAGAGAGAGAGAGAGAGAGAGAGAGAGAGAGAGAGAGAGAGAGGGAGAGAGAGAGAATGATGGGCATTCATGTGCGTCCGCGGGGCGGCAGGACTTTGGTTCGTCGCCAGATTGTCAAGCGCCGCGGCGCGCACGTCACACGCCGCCACGCCACGCCACCCTCTGTTCTCCGTCAACAGTTTGTCGGGGCGGGGCGGGGCGGGGCGCGCTACACCTACGCCAGACTCCATTGTGGTACGGGATGCGGCTCGGCTTCCCAACAGCGCGGTGCAGGGAGCGCTTTTCCAAGTTCATCCCCCCCCCCCTCTCCCTCTCTCTCTGTGATATGCCGCCACCTAAACATCCAATGAATACGTAAACAAACTCCGCCTAAGCTCCATCTTTAACGAGCCAACTTGGTGTAATTTTGTGCAAGGCCAGGAGGAGCGTCCAGGCCGCAAGGGCGGGGCGGGGCGGCTGGATCCTGGATCGCGGGCCGCGGCCGTCCCGATTGAGTCGCGTTAGCCGCGTTAGCCGAGGCGTTAGCCGGCCACGTGTCACCCTGTGAATCCAGATTAGGCTCCCCACCGCTTGTGAAGCAGACATCCACGGCCCCCGCCTGCCTCACTGAAGGCACGATTGAAGGACAACACGGTGCATGCCGTGCTCGTGGTGATGGTGGAGGTGGAGGTGGTGTTCGTGGTCGAGCCCGTGTTCGTGGCGATTGTGGAGGCCGTGTTCGTGGTGGAGGCTGTGTTCATGGTGAAGGCCGTGCTCGTGGTGATGGTGCAGGACGCGCTTGTGATGGAGGCCGTGTTCGCGGTGATGGTGGAGGCCGTGCTCTTCATGGGCAGGCCTGTTATGGGCCCGCTTGGTGAGGTGCGGTCAGGCGTGCTGGTGGAGGCCGTCCCACACCACGCCTGTCCTCATGCGATGTCCTGAGGGGGGCGGCGCTGCGGGAGCTGCGCGCCGGGGCTGAAAATTTAACAGAGCACGTAATTGCGCCGTTAACGCGCAATTTGCAGTAACGGCCATACTCCTAACTAATAACGTATGGCTTCGCTTTAGTAGGCGGCCGCAGGGCAGTGTGGTGAGGGGCGAGGCGAGCGAAGCTTGCGAAGCGCAAGCGAGACCGCCCCTCCGGCCAGAGACTGATTTGAACGTCGCCAGTCCCCGCCTCAGGCTGAGGTGCGGCAAGAGAAGGAAAACACGGTCAGCTGCCGTGAGTGGAGAGCCGGTGGTTCGCGGTGATGGTGGAGGCCGTGCTCTTGGCTATGGTGCAGGCCGTGTTCATGGAGGCCGTGCTCGTGGTGATGGTGCGGTGCAGGCCGTGCTTGTGGTGGAGGCCGTCCCACACCACGCCTGTCCTCATGCCGATGCCCTCCTTGTAGGCGGGTGCGGCGCTGCGCGAAGCTGCGCGCCGGGGCATGAAAATTTAACAGCAGCACGTAATTGCGCCGTTAACGCGACATGAATTTGCAGTAAAACGGCCATACTTCCTAACTAACTAACTGTATGGGCTTCCGCTTTAGTTTTAGTGCAGGGCCGCAGGGCAGTGTGGTGACGGGGCGAGGCGAGCGAAGCTTGCGAAGCGCCAAGCGACGCAGCCGCCCCTTCCGGCCAGCAGACTGATTTCGAGAGTCGCTTTCGTCGCTCAGTCCCACTCGCACTCAAGGGGCGTTCATGCAGGTGCGAGCAAGACAGAGAGGCGAAAACGACTCTCGGAATCAGCCTGCAGGCAGGCAGCACACAGTGGGCCAGAAGACCGGTGGAGGCGGCCAAAACTCGAGTCGCGTTTCGAGCTCCACAGTCGCTAAACAGGACCCCAACCTGAACGTGTGACCCACCAATGGATTCCTCGTTTGGAGAGCCATCCATCGGTGGGGTCGAACGTTCGGTTCGAGTCCTGTTTAGCAACTCTGGAGCTCGAAACGTGTCAAGAGTTTTGGCCGCCTCCAACGGTCTTCTGGCCCACTGTGCAGCAGCTAGCTGCCTCTGTGCCTACAGACCAGACCGCCTTGGCCTCGCCGTGATGGCACTGGCTGTGCTGGCCTCGGAGCGCCCTGGCCGCCCTGGCGGTAGACTGCACCGCAACACGTCTGGGCTGACGGCTGGGGCTGCTGGCGCGCCGGGGCGCTAGGGGCCGGGTGAGGCCGGGTCGACGCGGTGGCGGTGGCGGTTCAGGGGGAGTGCAGGGCGCGGTGTTTCATGTTTCTTGGCGTGTTCGGCTCGTCGCCCCCGTTTTAATGTAATCAACAGCTTGCTGCAGCAAGCGCGCACGCTCCCCGTTCGAAGACCCGCCGCCTACCTCGCCTCTCGTCTCACGGCTCCCGGACGGCCCCCAACGACCCCCAGTGACCCGAGCGATCCCGAATAGCGGCTCCTCTCTCTCTCTCTCTCTCTCTCTCCCCTACGGGACGCCCCATGAGTGCGACAGAGACAGCCTCGCGGCCGGGATGGCGCCGTGTCCCTGGCGCTCCACCGCTGCCCGGACGGTCCGGGACGGTCGCCGCCGCCGTGGCGCCAGTCTGGTGGACACGGCGAAACACCGCCCCGGCCTCGGCCCCGGCCCCGCTCATTGCAATTTCATTTGTAAGTTGTTGCGCCCCTCCCCTCCCCTTGCAACTGTCCAGGCGGTCCAGAGCTAACCACAGCTGCTGTCCGAGTGTTTCGACTCATGCCGAGTCACGCCGCGACACGGCCGCACTTGCAGATGAGCCCGACGACTTGTCAGCAGGCTGCGACACTGACTCTCGAGGCCAGTGGTGGCGGCCGAAACTCTAAACGCTTTTTGAGCTCCAGAGTCGCTAAACAGGACTCGAACCGAACGTGTGACCCTACCAATGAATTCCGTTTGGAGAGAAGTCCATTGGTGGGGTCACACGTTCGGTTCGAGGCCCATTTAGCGACTCAGGAGTTCCAAAAAGCGTTTAGAGGTTTGGCCGCGTCTACCGGTCTTCTGAGCCGCTGTGTGACAGGACCGCGCGACGGAATGACCCAGGTTCGAGTCCCGGCTGCGCCGCATGTTTTCGTCTCATTTTTAACTTTCTTTGGCAAGTCCGACTCACATGCCCGGGGCTGGCTTCTACTTGGAGGGCTTTTTCCCTCTTTTTTTGGCGGCCACGTCGAGGTGGCGACCTAGTAAGGCGAGGCCAGGCGAGGCGCAAATACAAGGACAGGAGTACCTGCCGCCGAGGGAAGGGGTAGTGCATGCTTGTTAGCGCATAACAGAGGGCACCGCCAGAGAGCTCGGAGAGCTCGGAGCGCGGGGCTAAGTCTCCTTGTCACCCCTACGCGGCGAGGTGGGATGTCGGCAGCAGACTGAGTCCGAGAGTCGTTTTCGTCGCCGTCTCCCTCGCACCCACACGGGACGCCCCATGAGTGCGAGAGAGACAGAGCGACGAAAGCGACTCTCTCGGCATGAGTCGTCGGGGCGGGTTTTCCCCGTGTAGACGAGTGGGTGCTGATGAGGGCCCGGGGCGAGCCCTGAACGTCGCGCATTGTTTCCACCATCCGCAAAAACAAAAAATCTGAATCCTCTTGTTTTTGTTGTTGACCACGCAGTGGCGGCGCCGCACTTGAACCAGATCGCCGACGGGCTGAGCATCACGGAGGTGACGGTGAGCGACCAGGGCCTGTACGAGTGCACGGCCATCCAGATGTCGGAGCAGGTGGCCAGCCAGCGCTCGCGGAACATCACTCTGCGCGTCCGCCGTAAGTTCACCTTTATTTTTCCTAATTATTTTCATGTCTTTTTTGCATTTTTTTCAGTTTTTTTTTTTTTGAAAAATTTTCATGTTTTTGCAATTTTTGTAGGTTTTTATTGAAAAATTTTTGCATGTGTTTCGCAAAATAAATTTGCAGTGTTTTGGAACCTTTTTTGCAATTTAGTTGCAATTTTTTGGCAGTTTTGTCTTGTCTTCGTTGTCATTTTTTTCTGCAAGTGTCTTGAGACAGCATTGTGTTGCGTCCGCAGACAAGCCCAAGTTCCTGAGCTCGCCGCCCAACTCTCCGACTGTGGTCTTCGGCTACCTGACGGGCGAGGTGAACCTGACGTGCGCCGTGAGTGCCGACCCGCCCGCCAGCATCGCCTGGTACCCGGAGAAGGACCGCCAGCAGCTCACCGAGCCCATGGCCTCCAGGGTCACCCACGAGCTCAACAAGTCCACGCTCCGGGTAAGTCCGGCCCGCCAGGCCGAACCACCGTCCCGCCGACCAAGGGACACAAAGGGTTGTAGAAAAACGACGGGGTAAAAAAATGGGACCTGAGAGTATTCGAATGCGGGGCTCGCGGTCCGCGATCCAGTTACCTTACCCACGCGGCTAACCGTCCTTGTTGACCGGCCTTGTTCTGTTCCACCTTCGCGCAGGTGGAACTTCGCGACGACCCGGTGTATATAAAGCACGTGAGTAGCTGCAGTGTGTGTAGCACGCGGGACACGCCACGGGACGCGGCCCGCGGGTTCGAGTACCCGCCAAAGCGGCGTTTTCCCCCCTCCCCCACCACCGCGCCCAAGCTCGCGCCCGCTTCATTAGGGTTGTTGTCAGGCTAGAGGCCTAGTCAGGCAGCGCGGCGTGTGGACAAAAAAAAAGTTGGCTTGGCCGTATTTGAACCCGCGCCTCTCGCGTTGCAGGTGAAGCTGAGCAACGCCACGGTGTTCGGCAAGTACCGGTGCCGCGCCAAGAACGAGATCGGCTCCGTGCAGAGGGACATCCTGCTGCAGCAGGGCGTGCAGCCCAAGCCGCCGCACCACGTGACCGTGGCCTCGGTGGGCGCCACCATCGCCGTCCTGGACGTGCAGACGCCCGTGGTGGGCCCCAAGGTGCAGCAGAGCACGCAGAGCAGCCACAAGAGCGGCAAGGACGGCGCCAGCGCGGCCGCCACCAAGAATCCCGGCGCCAACGACACCCTGGGCTACCGCGTGCGCCTCACCAGGACCATCAACGGCACCGACCTCAGCTTCGAGCAGGACTGCGACCCAGGTAGGAAAACGCCACAAAAAAAAAAACAGTAAGTTTGGGAAGAAAATTCCAGTAAAAGGAAAGTACACACCCCTGTCCCTGTGGTCTACACCAGGCGTCTCGGCGTCCACTTGACAGGGGCTTCACCCTCAGATTTTGCATGTTATGTTGAAGTAACTTGCCGAGGGATGGCTCAAAGTCAAGGGGTTAATGTCATTACACCGACCTCGACACTGACCGCGAAGTCAAGACATCAGCTCTGTAAGGATGTCCTTTTCTCACCCTGTACTTTTCTTCTCAGAATTCGTCCATGTATTGCATAACGTCCTATGTCTCTGTCGCACTCACTGACAGTCCATATTGAGCAGAGAAAGCGTTAAACAATGTGGACAGTCCCTACGCCTTCTCGAAATTAAGGAAAAAGAAACAAATTGGTGACGGTTGGCGGACCTGGCGGCGTGTTCGCGGAAGCACTTGAAGCCACTCCGGCGGCCGTTGGTGCCCTGGACTCCATCCAGTCACTCCAGTCATTGCGCAGGCCGACGGCAAGCACGCTTATTCCCCTCCCCCTCGCCACGGTGGCCTGCGCGGCCGAGCTGCAGCCAGGCTGCCCTAAACGCGCTGGTTTACAACCAGCACTGCAAACGGCCACTCAAATTCCGCTGTTTGGATAGAGGATGGGGGGGGGGCTTCTTTTACAGCCCCAGTAGATTCTTAGATTGCGCTGCCAACCTTCCAACAGGGAATCGTTCGGGTCGGGCCTCCCCGTTCCTCTCCAGGCCCTCCAGGCCCTCCAGGCCCGGCCGCTCTGCTCGCGCAGATTGCCTCGCCACTGTTCTTTATAAGCGTGAAAGAAACAGGTGTTCTACGGCCCGGCGATTGGCCAGCCCGGCCGGGCGGCCGACGAAAAAAAATGGAAGGGAACGGAATTCTTAAAGTGAGGCGCGAAAAATCATGGAAACGAGGTTGTTCCTTGCTCCACCTCGTGGACACTGTACTGCCTGCCAAACTGGCCGTTGAACGCGTCGCACACAGTGGGCCAGAAGACCGGTGGAGGCGATCAAAATTCCAAACGCGTTTTGAGCTCCAGATTCGCTAAGTGGGACTCGAACCGAACGTGTGACCCCCACCAAGGGATTGCTCTCCGAACGAGGAATCCATTGGTGGGGTCACACGTTCAGTTCGAGTCCTGTTTAGCGACTCTGGAGCTCAAAACGCGTCTAGAGTTTTGGCCGCCGGCGCCGGTCTTCTGGCCCACTGTGCGTTTGCTCCGCCTGGTAGACACTGCACAGCAGACTGAGCGTTGACGTCGTTGTTGTCCGCAGCTCCGTGCCAGCTGCGCAGCCTGACGCCCGGCACCAACTACACGACGCGCATCGCGACGCGGGGCCGCGCCGGGCTGTCGGACTGGGTGGTGGGGCCCATGCTCACCACGGCGTACAGCGCGGCCGCCAGCGCCGCCCCCCACGTCCTCGCCGTCGTCGCCGTCCTCGCCGCCATCCTGGCGCGCTCGCACTAAGCGCCTGGACGGCGCCGCGGGGACGCCGACGAGCACCTCGCCGACGACGCCACGCTGTGAGACTGATGAGCCGAGCGGACGCAGCCGTCCAAGCTCGTGATCTCCGTCAATCAAAAGAAGATGCTCTAGTTTGCTGTGATTCTCGTGTAGGCTCGAGGGCCGGACGCGGCCCAGCCCGTTGGACTGTAGTTAGACGGCAGTGGCTGACACACCGCGCGGCCGCTCGCGACGGTAGACGCGCCTCGCCGACTCATTTCCCAAACACTCGATCGGAGAAGTAAGCCGCGGTGCACTCCGTCTCGAGCGCGTCGTCGCGCCCTGGTGTGTTCGTGTGCGTGTGTGAGTGTGTGTTTGTGTGTGTGTGTTTACAGAGCCTTCGCGTTTGCCCGGGCTTAGCTTGGCGCGCTGAAGTTTAACTCGTGTTTGTATTCGATCCTACCCTCGGTACACAGTGCCTACAGTGCCGAAGGAGAGACCAAAGCAGTTGGTTCTGCCATCCCCCCACCCCCTTTTCCCAATTTTTCGGGCCACTACACTACGGCGCAAAGGGCAGGCCGAGGGGCAGGCCGCGGCGCAGGCGAACCCTGGAACATGGAACGGATACGTGGCATTCCTCGGCACTCGCCCCAAACGGCCAAACGGCCACGACGACATTCTCATGAGGGAAGGCCCACGAGGCACTGCGCAGCACTGCGCAGCACTGTGGGGCACGCAGGGATGGCAACCTGGAACTGATTCAGTTGTTGTTGATGGCTTCTTGTGGAGAGCATAGCTTAGGAATACGACAATTAAATTGTGATCGAAAAGAATAAAAATAACGAAAACTGGAAGGGGAAAAAAAGATGATTGGTCTAATGGTATATTTTTGTGAATGGATATTAGGTACGGATTTTAAAATTTTAAAAAATCTCTTTATTTCTTTTACTTGTAATGGAGAGTGCCTAGCTTTGTAAACGTCGTGCTCTAGCCCTCTTTTTTCCCAATTAAGTAAAAAACTCATTTTTCCTAATCCCCATAAAGAGGTATATGACGGCAGGACATGAAAGCCAAATAGTGTCTTTTGCCGCGGCCGGGTGAAAGGCGAGATTAAATTTAAGTCACGGAGGCTTAATTCTTTTGATTGAATTCCTGTGCGGCACCGGGGCACTGGCTGGCTGGCTTTGATATTCCGCCTCTACTTATCCAGCTCATCCCATTCCGTTGGCCAGCCCTGGGCCAGCCCTTCCAGCCCCTCGCTCCAGCCCATGCCGCACGTTCGGGTCGGGGCAGCCGGGGCAGCCTAGGGCAGCCGGGCCGAGCGGCGGGCGTTTTGAGCGCGGCTTGCGACCTGCCTGTGGCCCTGTGGCCCTGCGGCTTGTAATGCTCCCTCCGCCTGCTCCGCGCTCCGCGCTCCGCGCCGGCTCCGCGAGAGGCGGGTGGCTTTTAAACCGATTACGTGCCCCGATGTGATGAAGACAAATGAACCACTTACCCATGATGAATGACATGTATGGAGAGCTGGGCAGGGAAGGCCTCCCCCCCCCCCCCCTTTTTCCCCCCTCTTGCATCCGCTCTCGTCCGCGAGGCCTTACCCCACGTCCTCTCCGAGGCCACCACAAATCTTACAACAAATTTATTAGTATGTGTGTTGCTCTCTGCCGTGTCTTATCGATCCCAGTTAGATTTAAGATAGATTCCTCTCCACGAATCTGAGTGAGTTACTACTTCAAGACTGCGTCACTTGCAATTCCGGCAATGGAGCTAGGCCCCCATTCCACCAAAGGTCTACAAAATGGTTTCATTTTTTTTAAGGCGAGGTTGAAGCAAAGAGACCAGTAGTAAATATTTACTTCAGTAAAGTACAATAAGTCATAAGCTATGGGCCCGTATTTTAAAAAATCTACTGTGCCAATGGTGTGCCAGATTCCCAAATGTCAAGCTGGAAACACAAAATGGAAGAAGACGAAATTGAATTTGCAACTCTAGGAAAATAAAGTGGTCGGTGTTGGGTTCTAACAAGTTTGACCTGCTCTCAATCTTGAATCAAAAATACGGTGACCTCTTGACATTTGTGACTTGCTGTATAGAGCACCTCTTACAAAATTGCTAAGTCAGAAACTTAAATGCTTTCAGTGTGCAATGTTTCAATTTAAGTTTTAAAAGAAGACCAGTCATGTCACTTAAAATGATTTAATGAATCTGTGATATTTGAATAGTAATTAAAATCAAGACACTCAAAATTTTAGACATTCCTTTCAGGAAAGTATGTATTTTAATTAATTAAGGTTTATGTTATGCAGTAATGTGGCTTAATATGCAGAAGGTTTTGGCACATTTTATTCACTTGAGACTTTTTTAGCCTGAATGTTATTGTTAAAAAAATTCTGGAAGGGAGGATACAATGAACACAAGACCAAGGTGTTTTCACAATACTGTTGCATTTTCATAACTTTCTCCTTAACAATGTTACTATAGCATGATCTCAGTGAGCTGTAGCCTAAACAATCGCATGACATTGTAGTTGAAAAGTTAAGAGTTTTAATGTAAATTAGACCGTTAATGCTTTCTTCTACTATTTTCAAAGAAAGGAAATTGGCATAAAGTTTAAGGTGTGGAGGATAAAGCTATTACATTGTTGTGGTGTGAATACAAATAGGGAACAATATCAATTCTATATTTTACAGTGCAGAATTATTTGATATTAGGTGCCTTGTAAAGTTGCATAAACCCTTGTCTATTATACAGTTAAATGTTTATTCATATATGATATAGATACTGTAGTTGTGTTATACTAAGCATAATAAGATCATAAACGTGCAGCATGCATGCTATGTCTGTGTGTAGAGCATGCTGACTGTGTGTATGTATGTTAGCTGTTAAATTCGGGATGAATTGCTTTCATGAAAATGTACAGTATTTGGAGTGAAATAGCAGCACTTGTGACAAAGTCATTTTAATTTATGTAAAAAAGAAAATCAACAAAAACAAAAAAATCTAATGTGTTCTCTTTCATTTTGAAAATGTTCCCATCTTAAAATAAAGATACATAGTTATCACAACAGAATTGTCTTTGGTAAAATGCCTAGCCTATTTTTCTGAGTTGTTTTCACTAAAGGACATATTAGTCATTGTGATGTCTCTGGAATTTCCCCAAGGGGATTAAATTATTCCAACTGCAATGATATTTGTATATGTGTACATTTTGCACACCATATTCTGCACTTGCCAAACATTGTTTGAAGCAAAACTACTTGATTCTTGATATTTGCAAAGCAGTACTGCATGCCTTTGCAAAATTTCTATTTATTTATTTGTAACAAATGTGAATGTAGCCATGATTGAGGAAAATAGATTACTAAAGAAGACCCTTCTTTATAGCTGGCAAATGCACTTTCAAACACAAGGTGTGTCCTCTGACAGTACTTCTTGTAAAAACAAAACTTCTCATAGGAACAAATTTTAGCGCCTCTTAAAAAATGTCATGTGTCTTTTGACTGAGAAATAAATTTATCTATACCACTTAAGCAACTTTAAATTATCTCCTGTGTTGTTATGTTTTGTTTTGTTTCTGTTTCCTTTTTTCCTAAGCCAAGCAAATAAAAGGATTTAAATGTCAGTCTTCGAGTAAGTAAGTAAATTCTTTATAATGAGCCCTCCTTACCAATGTACTCTGCAGCCTCCACAACTGAATTGCAAACCTGTTTGTGGTTGCTCCAGCACTTGACCTGGCACTCTCTGCAAAAAAACAAAAAAAAAAAAAAATGGAAGAGGTTCTGAGTAGAATATGTTGAGGATGCAGCACAAAAAGAACATAAATTTCTTTACCTTCCACAATACCACTCTGTTTTACAACGAGAACAGCGTTTAGGAGCAGGATCCCCACAGCCAGCACACTTCGCCATATCTCCTCCAAGACGGTCAAGCACATCCAGATTATATGCAGAACTCAAGCTATGAAATACAAACCATTAAAGACTTCTCTTAGCTACAATTTAACCTCTTACTTCAGCTTTATTTTACTGTCTGTTTTTACTTACCTCTGAGCCATTTTCTGAATAGAACCTTGATCCTTTTGAAAAAATGTTCCCAACTGAATTTTGGCTATTTTACGCCACTTGCGTGAGCCCCAATCCAAAAAGTTTTTCCTTATCTGCAAACAATGCTCCTGACTGAATTTTTTTCAAAGAATATTAAGGACACAGGGGTGTTACAAACGTTTAGATATACCTCAGGAATAACTTCTAGAATGAGTGGTTTTCTTGTAGATGATGGACCAGATGATATTTGGAGGTGGCACAGGAACTGCTTTAAATCTATTAAAGGTGAAACTTGGTCTAGCAGTGGGTCGGTCATATATCGCAAAACCTATAGACAAGACCACAGATAGACTTCAATAAATATAAAAACCAGATCATCAAAATATTTTTGACTTCCATAAACCTTTTGAAGTTGACTTCTTCTAAAGTCTGAAAAGTCATACAGTCGTGCACAGCTCTCTCTGAGGAGTATCTGACGGAGAGCCAACCAAACCTGGCCTTCTGTTCGGGTCAATTTTAAAACATCTTCCCCTTTGACTTCAATCCATTGCCCATCTGCAATAAGGTTTGTTTTTTTAAAACCACCGATATTGAATAATTTTAATAAATGTGTAGCAAGAGTAAATGGTACTTCAGCCAAAGTGCAGGTAGCAAACCAGAGAATTTGAGTTTCCTTCCTGGATGCTTCGGATCAGTCCTCTCCCAAGGCCTAACTTCAAGCAAATGGACCAAAAGGAGGGGGACATCATGATGTGTGTAAAGCCTTGAGGTCACCGCAAGTGGCAAGCTGTTTTTGTACAAGATCTGTAGTTTTGTTTTAAGAAACAGAAAGTACTTAACTTAGGAACTTCACTCACCTCTCCATTGATTCTATTAAGTACTGCAAAATAGATATACATCTCATGCCTATATTAAAACAAATAATCATTTCTTGGTCCTTGATGCTATCCATTGGGGATGCTTCAGAAGGCTCTTTAGGGCTCTTGTACCTGGCAAAAATTAGAGAAACTTTAATTATTTGACATGGGAGTCATCCAAAATGATCCAAAGCAGTAAATAAATGCAACCAAAACTAATCTTTTTTGTCAACAAAAAAGCAACACACCCTGCACATATTTGATAGATGAGAGGCATACAATAATCAAGCAAATCCACAGCAGTGTCACCAAGAGCTTCACATGAATCCCCATGGAAAAGGACAGTTTCTAAGAGAGCCACAGCGGTTGCTTCATGAAATAACTAAACAAAGTAATTCATCAATTAGAAAAATACTGAAATGCAGGCAAAAATACTAATAGGAAATGTAGCACTTACCACACAGTATACTAAAAAAGTGTCTTTAATATTTTCTTCTAGACGGAGCAGTTCAGGAAGCACTTTCTCTCGCCAAACAGAAATGCATATTGCTTCATGAACCAGAACTGAAACCTGAAATAAAACCCAGTGTCAAACTGAACTATTGTCCAAAAAAGTTAATTATTAGCAAAAAGCATTATCTTTACTTTGGAATGAGTAGCCATGAGTTCTTTCACCACTTCCTCTCGGTGTTCAGATGCCTCAAGCACAGCTTGCTGACTTAATTTTTGCATGAATTCGTGAGTTTGCAGCCAACTAGAGGACAAGTTTTTAAAAATTAAAATAAATAAATATAGTAAGAAAGAAGTCTTGAAACAGTTTTGTTTTCTACTCACAATTCTGTTCCCAACTCATCTATTTTGCTGGGTCTCAGACTTAAAACATAATGTTCAATTTCAGCAGCATTCAATACATCAAACGTATCTTCGTCCATGTCGATAAATATATTCAAGTGACAAAATTAGAACTAAAACTACACCTCAAGGGCGTAGACAGGGGAGAGAAGGTAGTATGAAATTGGAACAAGTTTCAAAACAGCAAACGCCTAGCGCCATTTGTAAATAAATAAACAACAAAAGAAGATCGGTACCAGTCTACGCCTTGTAGAAAAGCTGATTCTTCTTCGTTTCCTCAGTTCGCCGCGAGGGAGCGCTGCGTACTCCCCCGCCTCCCCCCTCACCCTCAAGTGGCAGCGCCGGCAGCGGTTACGTTTGAAAGCAGTTTGAAAATCCTAACGGTCGCTTGTGTTCCTTGCTGGGCGGTTATGAATGTTTACTTCCGCGAATTCGTGTCAGATTGAATGGATATAGGCCAGTCCGGAACGCGTGCCGTCGTTGCTCAAGATTTTAACAACTGACACGTCGATTGAGAGAAGAGAATCTGAAAAATTGACTCGTCTCTTCGTAAAGGAAGCGTGAATTTACCGATTGACCATGGATGCTTTCACGCAGGTCAGTCATTCTGAATTGCTTGTGTTGATTCTGTTTGGGTGACTTTAACCACTTTTGGCTCTGATTTTATCTGAAGTTCCGTTAGTCCTTCCAAGTTTTATTATGCTTTGAAAACAGGAATAGTGTGGGACTTTACTACTGACTAAGATGATCAAAACCAACCTAGTTGTTGTGTTCGGCAAGAATATCTCCAGACATCCTAAAAGCTCTTTGCTTCCACATTTGCAGTAACCCCAGTGAAGGGTTTAGCCTGCTTGCACATATGTCACCCTTTCTAATCTTCAAATTCTGTTTTTATTCTCATCTTTTTGTTCCTTGGCAGCGAATGCTGGAACGTGCCCAAGCTCGTAGGGAGAAGCTTGACAAACAGTTGAACAGTGTTGGTGAACAAACAAGTTCGAAGAAGAGAGTTCCTTTGCTGGAGAGCAACCAGCCAGCAGTGGAATCATCTGTCACAGGTTTGAATTTTGTGGACCAATTTATTGCGATTCTGCCTTCATTGTTGAATCCCTTACAGTATCTTCCTCTTTTGACAGTTTTTTCATCCCAATGCTCATCCCCATCCCCTGTGAAAGGCAAGGCTGCGTTATCGAGGAAAGTCTCAACTGCTTCTCCCAAGAGATTATCTCAGGGTGGACGGAGGTTTAGCAAATCTCCAAGGAAGGAAGCCACACCACCTCCTCCTGCCCGCCCAGTTTCAGATGATGAAACCGAAGATGATGATCGAGGTATGGAGAGTGACTCTGGCAGTGAAAGGGATTCTTGTCCAAGTAACAGCCAAAAGCCAAGACAGACTTCAGGTGGTGAAAGCGGAGCTGCCATAACTGATGGAGTTCGCTCTCGCCTCAAGCGAATGGGAGCTCTGTATTCTGGTTAGTGGTTGTCACTTTTAAGTGTATGTCCCGGCTGCTTCTATCTCTGCTACATAACTTTCTATTGTTTCAGACGCTGAGCAGCTGTCCTCACCCATTCATCGGACTGAGGGAAGCTTTTCTGCGGAACCTGTGGCATCCAAGACAAGGAACAAGTCTGCAACACGCTCAGCTCGCTTAGCTGCTCTGGCTAGCACGATCAACCAGTGGGAGGATGATCTAAGTCACCCTAGTGTTGCCACTGCAGCGGCTCGAGAAAAGGCTCCTGTCTCTGTAAGTTTTCCATTATGAGCTGTGATCTTATGGTCTGCTTCCTTTGCACAGACCTTTGTTAATTCGTTCTACTTGAGTGCTAATCATAGCTGCTGCTTTGCATTTGATCTGTGTTATTTGCATTTAATTTCTTAGCCATAACTACTTAACTCACATATCATCGGCTTTTCTGTTTGTCCTCATTTGTAATTTTCAAGCCAACCCGCATATTTAAAACTGTATCTATCTATCAATCTACATATTTTTCATTCATATTGGCACTTCATTCACACATCTGTTCCAAGTCATTGAAGTGCAGCATTTTGTCCTCTTAGCTGATGCAACTATTAATTTAATTTTATTGTCCTCCTTTTTGTTTCATTTTTATTATGGCTTGTGCAGTGTTTGCTGTGTGTGTGAACTTGTGATTTTTATTTAGTAGATCATGAGATTTTTGAGTTTGTTTGTTTGTTTGGCCTATAGTTTATTCTCAACATATTGTCCTTAAAGACGGCTTTTCAAATATTCTTTTGTAGAAACCTGTATCAAGGTTAAATGCAGGCGGCAGAAAACGGAAATCTATTGGCAAGAATGAACAGCAACCTGCCACTTGCAGTACTGAGAAAGGTTCTCAAAGTCCTAACAAATTTGCTCCCAGCTCCAGATTGCCTGGAATTAAAGTTTCCAGGAAATCTGGAGAGTGCAGTCCCAAAGGGAACATTTTGGCAGAGGTAACATCATCTCCTACAAAAGCGTTGCAGTGGGATAAGGCCATGCTCGATAGCTTGGTGAGTGTCCATCACTCGCGGAAGTATTTAGTTAATGCACACTGTTCCAACCAGAGTTTGTCCTTTTCTGTGGGACTCTTGATCTCTCCTTATTTGGGTCTTTTACAGCTGCTGGTGATTGTCCGTCTTCCCTTCACCAATGTTCCTTTTAATTATTATTTTATTTTTTTCTTTGCATGTGAATTGTCAGTTTATGTGCATGATTTCATGATAATGGTGGAATGTGACACACTTGTTTTCTCTTACTACTTCTTTTTATGCTGTACTTCAATTTAATCCACAGCTTTGACTCAAACTGCAGAGTTACATCTCAACACCAGACTTTTCCTTTTCTTTTTTGATTTAAGTTGTGTGTTGATTGTTTTACTGTTTTGTGTGGTATTGATGTTGAGCATGATGCATGGATTTTGTATTTATTGGCATGCAGGAGTCGCAGGGCTTTCACCCGCTCTTCCTCCAATAATCGACTCATATATGACTATGAGGAAGAAACTCAGGATACTAGTGTTGATACTGAGGCTTCAGAAGATAATCAGGATGAGGTATGCTCTGATGAGTGTGGTCTCTGAATCTTGCTGCAATTTCTACTTACATGTTCTCTTAAGTTATGATTCTTATTATGTACTTTTTTCGCTTCCCAATATAATGAGATTTTGGTTCATACAGAATGCTGGACGAAGTCCACTGAGAGGAAGTCCACTGAGAGGAAGCCCACTCAGAGGAAGCCCTGTGAAAAACTTCAACAAATTCACCAGCCCTTCACGCAGCCCAATGGTCATGGGTGTGGCACAACTTAGGAGCGCTGCTTCCCCAATCAGACAGTCCCCTGGCAGTCCCTCTGTGGGTGCATCTTCTCCGGTCAAATCTCAGTTCAAATTCAATCTTAAACCAGTAAGATTCTGGCCGGCTTGTTCTGTATAACTTTTTAGTTGTTAATTGCAATGCCTAATGAGCTGTTTGTCTACCAGGTCAGTATTGATGACTCTCAACCTGAAGGCTCAGTTCTACAGCGAGCAGCCAAGTATGAATCCGAAGCTACTAGCCCAACGAAGCGTATGAGAGACCCAGCGGAACTCCCTCTATCTGAACGAATGGCATTGTTTGAGAAAAATAAGGGGCCTCTCTTGGTGCCTAAAGTGCCGTTTTCAACACCCATGCCTGCCAAGCTTCTGAAAGAAAGTGAACCAAGTAGGGTCCATTCGTTCTTTGTGCCACCGATAAAGTCCTGTTAAAATCACTTTTTATAATATTCTTTCCTTGCAGCAGCTCAGCCAGCACGCAAATCTCCCAAAAAGCCGACGGCAGCATGCCCTCCTATCAAGGAACCTGTCTTGCCCAAGTCTCCAAGCAAGGTTGCTTCTACCATGAAGCAAAATATTGAAGAGTCTGCTGTTCTTCGGCGCTTGCAGTTATTTGAAGCTGGTAGGATTGGCTTGGAAGAGAGCCCCAGCCGTCCCCAAAACCAGGCGGTAGCTGAGAGGAGAAAAGAAATGGAAATGTTGTCAAGCCGCTGGAACCGTAACAAGGAGATGGCTGTTGATGAACCATCCTCTCCCGCACCAAAATCTCAAGCAACTCCTTTGAAGGCATCACACAATGTGGTATGTAACTTTCTTGCCTTCTTTGATACCGTGTCTTGTCCTTGTTACAGGATAAAGACATATTATTTTTTATCTATCTATCTTTTTCGCCCTTTAGGTACCAGGTACTCCTCCACCACCTCCTCCAATGCCAGGGTCTCCTCTTGCCACTGCAGCTACACCTCCCCGCCGTTCCCCTCGTCGGCCAATATCTCGTAAGTTTAAATTGAAATTCGTAATATTTTTAAATTTTATGGCTTACATGTACACAATTGGTTCATTTTATGTATTTGTTTTACAGAAGATGTGTATCCTGGAGCATCTGATGTGAAGAGGATTAAAGTGTCTCCTCCCAAACCTGGTCGTTTATATCCCAGTCTGTCAGATGTTGAGGCAACTACTGAAACTGAAGACCATTCCAGTGCTGATCACAGGCAAGTTTCCCTAAAATTTATCTTTGGTCCAAAACACCTGCTTTAGTAATACATTATTTCCGCCTTTATTATTATTTAGTTATGAGGATGAAGAGTCCAGTTTGGATCTTGATTCCACAAACAATAGCTTTGGGAAGGACATTTTGGAAGCAGCTGAGAAAGTGCATTCATCATACAGATCTCAAAAAGATTCCAAGGTGAGTAAGGCTTATGAATCCAGACCTTTCTCTGAATTCCCTCTTCTCATTCTGTTAATACTGCTGTGTTCATCTTTGACTAAATTTTTTATTCCGTTTTGACATTCTTTTAGGATGATGTATCAATCACTGAATCTGCCGTCCTAAGAGACATGGATGATTTCCTTGAAGAGGCTTTGGATGAAAGCTCTGATGAGGAGCAAAAACCTTCACCTCCCAAAAAGGTGCGTTTTAACTTTTCCCACACAAGTATATATTCCACACACAGTTCTCCTAAAGCTCTTAGTATTGCTCAGAACTTTTCAGGATTTCATAGCATTGCGTTGTTGTTTCCAGACCCGCACTACTCCCAGCAAAAAGTCAGATAGCTTCCATTACAAAGAAATGGTTAAAGAAACTGTTCCGGAACCTGTCCTGGAGCGCAGATCACCTAGACGTGCTTCTACCAAATACCGAGCACCCCAGCCCCCTTCCACTCCCTCCACTGCAAGCTCGACGGAGGAACAGCAGATGCCTCTCATGCACACAGTCAGTTTCTATCGGAAACAGCAAAATATGGTTGGTGAATAAAGTTGTTAAAGTTAACTTAGTCTTCTTAGCCTTCCCTTTACATTATTTTTTTTTGTTTACAGACCCCACGAACACCTGCCAAACAGGTTCAAACTCAAGGCTCTCCTGAAAAGCTGCAGCCCAAGGCGGAAGAGAGGAATGAACAAGAGAGGCATCTTGTTGAAGTTCGTGTGCGAAACCTTCTTGATGAAGTTTCCAAACAGCAAACTGTTATTTCTCAGGCCAGTCAGGCTCTCAACCTTTGTAATGCCACTGTTGAATTCTCTGGTTCCTCTGAACAAGTTGAAGGGGAGCGACTTTTGCTTCTTTCAAGTGAGTGCTTTTTCTGCTTGTAAGTATTAAACATTTTTGAAATTTTTGTCTAACCAATACCCATATTCTGTTATAGCCCACAAGCGCCAAGCGGCCCTCAATGAAATTCAGCGTTTGAAAGTGGAGGGCACCCTTCGGCCCCAGAATCCATCCGGCTATGACTTGAGTAACTTTTCAGAACATGGCACTCTTCACATCAGTAACATTACTCTGCCTGTAAAGCGCGACTTCGTGCGCTCTATTTCTGCTGAAGACAACAGCCATCATTTTGTGTGCCTTGCCAAGTGTCAAGATGTTATTCTAGCGACCTCAGTCCTGTCCATTGCAAACACACGAGACCTTCAGGGAGGTCAGACACTGCGTTTTACTTCTTCACTGACTTTGGCAGACCTGTACAGTAATTTCAGGGTGACACTTGAAATCTACACCATGACCTGTCGCAAAGAAGTGTTGCCTCATGATATTAAGTACCACATCAACAAGAAGGTGAATATCTATTCATTTGCTCCTGTAAATTTGTTGAGTCTTGCATTACTACCCTCTGTTATTTTTCACCCAGGATGTTTCCAAACATCGCATGACACCCAAGAAACAGAAGCAGGAATCTCATCTCTTGCGGCCCCCAGTCCAATCCCCGGCTGGCCCTGGTGCTGTGAGGTCACCACAGTTCTCTCTTATTGGATATGTCATCTTTTCACTAAGAGAAATCCAAAGAACTTCGTTTACTCTCAATAAGGTACAAAAACTTCAAACTATGCTTCTGCAGTTCTTAAGAAATTTTAGATGATAATTTTTAATGGCTTTTTCAGGTACCATATACTAGTCCATTGGAAGGAAGCATTCAACTTTCTCTCAAATGTGACCTCTCATTGGACATTGAACATCGTGGTTTCCTGACAATGTATGAAGTGGTTTCTGGCTATGGAGCATGGCACAGACGTTGGTGCCTTCTGAAAGGGGAAATGTTGTCTTACTGGAAATATCCTGACCATGAGAAGAAGGAGGTTTGTATTTTGATGGCTCCTTCACAGCAAACTATTTTCTTTTTGTATATTGGTTTCAAGTTTTCTTGTCTCTTTGCAGATTCCTATTGGTTCTATTGATCTGAGATCGTGTGTTACTGAAAATGTTGGGCTTGTGTCTCGAGATCTGTGTGCCCGTCTCAATACTTTCTTGCTAGAAACATCAAGGCCAGCCAAACCTACAGATGAAAACTCTCTTGACTTAATTTGTATGGGAGATGTCACTCACGTTCGGTATGTTGCTGTTTGTCCTCAGTCATCATTTTCATTAAGAGCCTCTACTTTTCTCTTACTTAAGTCTTATATGTATTTTCTTGCAGGCACCTACTGTCAGCAGACACCAGAGAAGAGCGCCTTGACTGGTGTACTCAAATCAATAAAGCTCTTGCAGTTATTCGGGCTTGGGGAAAGAAGACAGACCTATAATTTGGACAAGGTAAAGGGGTCCAAATGTCTCATCAAATCAATTACTGACATGCCATAAAGTGGCTTTAATCTTCTAACAAGGTTCACCCATTATGGTTTAAACTGCTATTTTATCATGACATGTTGACAATTTGTTTATATTCATTGTATTTATTCTGTCCCATGTGTGCTCTGTTTCTATTAACTCACGCTCTCTCATAGTACTTTCCATGTGTGATATTCCTGGAAATAATGTACTTATATTTTATCACCAAATAACTCACTCTTAACGCTTCTAATGAATCTGTTTGTATTAACACCTCCTGGTGCAGATGTATCTACCAGATCCCACTGGTATTGGGACTTGTTACCAAATCTCTTTCTCTGAGTTGTCTGGTAGTAGAGTCTAGCCAGCAGGATAATATGTGCCCAGACTTGAATGAATTTCATTGTGATGTAAGACATTGTAACAGTATTATTTTACAATCTCAATCACTTGTTAAGATTATGTCAATCACGAATCTCTAGTTCGCTCTCTTTTTTCTTGATTTTACTTTCTAGTGTAAGTCTGGTGTTTGAGTTCTGTCTTGTGATGTTCTTCTATCCTGTAAAGTCTTACCCCTTCCAGATTGTATTCTTTGAGGAAAAAAGATTTGTTGGGAGTTTCTACCAAAATTTCCACAAATCCTCTTGTACTACCTTGAGAAACCTTTCCCTACCCTGACAATGAGTGTTAATTTCCAAGCGCTCTAATACCTTTACTATTTATGCTCTTAGAGGATATTCTTATTATCTATCATCTTAGTTAACTGAGATGGCCATGAGAGTGTCTGCCAGCTTATGTACAAGTTCACTGCTTAGTAATGAATGCAGAGCTTTTGTACACAACTTGGTTGAAAATAACCATTATAGATTATTTTATGTTACAATTGATTTATTTTTTATTATCCTTGTGTACTATTTCAATTATAGAGATAGCCAATCGTCTGCAACTGTATCCTTTACAGTTCCAACATTGAATGCCATGTATGCATGTACGATTTAATTACATGCCTACATTGGTTTGGCGGTGGATGTAATCATTTTACAGTCATTAACTATGTTGTATACTAGCAATTCCAAACAAGTAGCATGGCCTGCCCGAGTTTTAATTTGAGTGATTGAAATGTAAAATGAATGAAATTTAAGGGTTTTAACAATTTTATCAAATGAATGCTTCTTGTCACTTTCCTGTACAGATTTTTTAAAATAAAAGTTTTTTTATATCTAACGATTTTGATTTTTTTGAGCGGGGTTTTCACCTTCCGTCAAGTCGCGACTCGGTTGCGACACGTCTTGATGGGCGCCGTGTGGGGCCTTATCATGTTGTGAATGTCGTGTAGTATCTTGCAGCGCCCGACAGGCAGGCAACCACTCCGCCACGCGTGTGTGAAGTGAGGCCGTCCCCGCGCCTGGTGCCTGGGCAGAGGGGCGTGGCGTTGTGTCCGGGACTGCCGCTCGGCCCCGCTCCCCGCCAGCTTGCCAGTCCAGATGAGTTCAGATGCCCGCCAATCTCTGCCTGCACCGCTGCAGACTGGTTTCGAGAGTCGTTTTCGTCGCTCTGTCTCACACGTATACGGCACGGGACGTCTCAGAGCGCGCGCGAGAGAGAGAGCGACGGAAACGACTCTCGGAATCAGTCTGCTGCGCGAGTGCGTCTGGTCGTACCACTCGACCGCTCATGGTTGCATACTTGCATACTGACTCAAAACAGCTATGAACGAGGGGTGGGAGGGGGAAGGGAATTCTACTGACGAAGTTGCTGACGGAGTCCCTGTGGACTGAGGGGGAGGGGTGTCACTTATCCGTGTTCCTCCGCTCTTCTGCTGTATTTTACCTAGTCTGGTTGAAACCCGCCCACCCACAGCAGCTCCGGTCATTCCAGGAAACGTAACGCTGCTTTGTCCCTCCCTCCCAGAAGACAGGTGGAGGCGGCCAAATCTCCAGAGGCGTTTCGAGCTCCAGAGTCGCTTATAAAGTGGGACTTGAACCGAAAGTGTGACCCAACCAATGGATTCCTCTTTCGGAGACCAATCCATTGGTGGGGTCACACGTTCGGTTCGAGTCCCACTTCGCGACTCTGGAACTCAGAAACGGTCTTCTGTGCTGCCCGCGAGTCCTCCGTGCCCGCAGCACGCATGCGCGGACTATCACGCGGGAAGGCACGCGGCCCCTCGCTGCGAGCGCTGCGTCGTCGTCTTTGTAGAGTGTAGCTGCACGGGGACTCTGAACTGCACGGCCACCGCCTCATCACGTGCCGATACCTTCCTTCGCTGTATCGGGGCCGCGGCGTGGACTTGCCGCGGGCCACGGACCTCACGGATACCGCCCCGCGGACCCGCGGTCATTCGTAGCGCGTCCGACGGCGTAGCAACAACCAACGCCACGTGAATTTTTCATAGCTACAGCTGTTCGTGACGTCACCCTAGCTGACAGCTGAAAAGAAGAAACAAACAAACACAAGCAAGATGGCGTAAGTGGCAGACAAAGAGCAGAGTATTTACTAGACGAGTATTGTGCGAAACCTTTTAGCTGCTCTAGTGAAGTTTCGTCCAGAACATAGATATTGCATTTATTGAAATGCTAGATTTGGAGTTGGTCCCAGAGACGTCGCTAGGATGCGAGCAATGGGAGTTTATACTGGGTGAGTTATCGAACGAGAGATTGGGCTAGGCCTAGGTAACAGATATTTTGCGTTTCAAATTCAAAATCCTTTGCCTTCATGACCTTTCGTCGTTATGACAACTTTTGAATCCCCACCACCTCTTTATTTCAATTACTGCTTATTCTTGAGCAAATGACATTGTATTTGCGGGAGTTTCTGTGTCAATTACATTGTATAGTCTGCTTCAGTTTCATGTTCTGACAGGAACCTTGGAACTAATGACACCAAAACAAACAAAGATCTGACTTATGCATGTGAAAGATTTGACGCAGCTTTGTTACCTGGGAAAATTGGACATTTTTATTTTGGTGTCTCCTTGTTCATTGTCTTGTTCTTATTTTATTTTGCAGGAATGCACTTTTCCCAAGCAATAGCAATTATACAGTCCCAAGTGGGTATTATCAAAGGAGTACAAGTACTCTACAGTGATCAGGTAAGGACATTTAGCCTGTTGCTTTGTTTTGATTTTTTTATAAAGTCCTTTCTCTTGAAGGCAGTTGTTTAAATTAAGGAGTTTTGGAACAGGATTTGTTTTTTTTTTTGTGTTGCCGTTTTTGAGATGTATATTTTGTGTACTCTTACGTGTCAAATATTTTCAAACATTCTTGACTGTCTTCATATGATGATATTTTCTGCAGAACCCCTTAAATGTTGATCTCATGATCAATCTACCACAAGATGGAGTTCGGTTGATCTTTGATCCTGTGTTCCAGAGGTTGAAGGTATGTATTCTCATGCTTTTTGTAGGGCCTCTCTCAAAGGAACAGCAAATTATTGAAAACTGCACCTGCTTACACTTTTGTCATTCTTCTCTTCAGATAATAGAAATTTACAACATGAAACTGACAAAACTTAAATATTGGTAAGTAGATATTACTATGGACTATTTGTCTTGCTTTTGCATTTGTAAACTTCTGTAACTGTGTTACTGAATTTCTATTTTAGTGGGCTGCCCTTCAATTCCCCTGAAGTGCCCCCCAGCATCCAACAAATTGAGCACTCTTTTGGAGCCACAAGACCTGGAGTGTATGATTCAGAGAAACAGTTGTTTGTTCTCAACTTCAGGGGCCTGTCATTTTGTTTTCCAGTTGAATCGAAGTTCCAGGTGTGTTATTAACGCGTTCGCTGTTATAAAGTAAGCTTATGGGAGTATCTGTTTTGCAACTAACTACGAATTTCTTTTTTGTTCTGCAGCCGGGGTATGCGCACGGCCTTGGATCTCTGCAGTTCCCCAATGGAGCCTCCCCTGTGGTGTCACGAACATGTATATATGCTGGGAGCAACTTAGCCGAGTGCAAAGCCCCACATTTGCCTTTGTCTTGCTATCACAATCAATTGTATCTGGAGGAATGTCACATTCTCTCCTCATCCCTAGCCAATAATGGCACTGGCCTTACTCGAGGTTTACGCCTACACCTTTTCACTCAAGGTTCGTTTTGTTGACATTCTTTCTTTTCAGTGACTTGATTTCATGAGTGTGCTAATGCAATAACACTATCTGTGTCTCATTCCAGGTCAATCAAGAGATATGGATCCTAAAAGACAAACTTTAACAAGGGAAGTGCTTTTCGGTGATACTTGTCAAGATGTTGCTGCAGCTCTTGGAGCACCATCACGTGTCTTTTATAAAGCAGAGGATAAAATGAAGATTCACAGCCCCAATGCCCATCGTCGTGTCACTGCCAGACGCTCTGATTTCTTCTTTAACTATTTTACCCTTGGCATTGTAAGGTTTACAGATGCAAAGTTATTTTTTAATTTATCGGATACTTCATTTTTGTATTGAACACAACTCATGTTTCGTTTCAGGATGTTTTATTTGATGCTAAAACTCAGAAGGCAAAGAAGTTTGTTCTTCATACCAACTATCCAGGACATTACAATTTTAACATGTTAGTAACACATTGAATGAAGTAATATCATGTACATAGTAATGTTCATTAATTTGCTTTATTTGTTTGCTGTCCATTTTTCCCTCCCTCAGGTATCATAGATGTGAATTTCAACTTAACCTTGTCCCTTCAAAGAGTCTCATTAAAAGTACTGGTGAACAGATTATTGACTCTCCAGCACCTGTAAATGTGAGAAACCAGAAACCTGACTCTGACCTTCTTCTAATTCAGCAACTGCAATCCTGTTTGACTTTTTCTTTTGTATTTTAGATAACTGCATATTCTAAGTGGGATGCCATTTCACAACAACTGAAACCAAGTGAGAGACCTGTTGTCCTAACAAGGGCCAACTCAACCAACACTACCAACCCATTTGGGTCGACATTCTGCTATGGCTATCAAGACATTATTTTTGAGGTGTGTTTTTGTCCTTAGTGTTGTTTCCTCTTTTTATCTTAAACCCTAAATTCGACTATGGTATTGCTTTTTACAGGTCATGGCCAACAACTATATAGCTTCAGTTACTTTGTATCAGGCAGAAAAAACTGCTGCTGAAGTATGACAATGGCTTAATGCCACGCTCCTTACTCAAGAGGGGCGATTTTGGCAGCATCGGCAGCACGAAAGGGCATAAAATGGAAAAAAAAAGATGTGTTAATTCTTTATTCCTGTTTAAGCTTACTAGTTACATTTTCACATGTAAATTTAAAAAAAAAAGTCATTAAAACTTTCCTTAAATGGCCCTCCACAGGGAGTGTGAAGTAAGCCACTCCCTAAAGGCTACCCAAAAAAAGTTATGTGAGATCACCTCGAGGATCACCTTCCTGTGTCTCTACAACTGAATGGGTCTAGTGGAATAGACTGAGCATTGATTCAGATGCATATTTGATGTGGACCTTGTTTCAAATCAAGTGAAAATCTCAGAAAGGACAAAAGGGATTCGCTACATTCTGTGTCATGTCTTGTGAGTGTGATGTGTATGGGTGCAGTGAGCATTTTGTTCCGCATTAGCAATAACCTTTTTTAATTATTTTTTCTGAAAGTTGTATTGAAAATTGACGGCAAGAATTTTAATGAAGGATTTCTTTAAAGTCTGCATTCACCTTATTTTGGTACAATGTTTCCAATTTGAAGTAGACACAATATTACCATGTATATGTATAACATTAGAGTTATTGTGTATCTCTTATGTTGGTTCTGGTTAATATTAAATGTAGCATCTTTATAATTGGATCATTGATGTTGAATGTTTGAACACTACTAAAGTAGAAGGTGTGCATTTTTTGAGTAGGCTGATCCAGATTAGACCTAAAATGTTTGAAAAAAGAAAATGGGAAAAAAATGAGCTTGTTCAAATCTGCACAAGAGCTTCATTAAACCTTTGTGTGATAATAATAACTTTTTATATTTTGACTTGTAGAGTTCTGCATCTAACTCTCATGCATATGTTCCCACCTGTTATAAACTTTTGTGAAAGTGTTTGGTAGAGCTGTGAGTTAACACAGTGATTAATGAAAATAGAGCTTAGAATGGTTTTAATTGACCCAGCTGTGGTAGTGTTCAAAAGAAAAAAGATTATTTTGATATACGTATTGTTTTAGAGAATAAGTGTTGCATCCTTTCATGACAACTTCATTTTAATTGTAACTAAGTAATGTGTTAGAAGATTCTACCTAAGCTCTTCTTATGTTCTACAGACCTTGGATGAACACTCTTTTGAATTTTTGTTTCCTTTCTGTTAGTTGGTTCATCTTAATTGAAACGGCTTAATCACTAGTGTTTTATTGTAATCCGTGGTACTTAATCATGGAGTAAACATACCACAACCAAAGTAATTTATTTTTATTTATCATACTCAGATTCTCAGGGTTTCTAACTAAATTCTGTGTGACATCTGTCCCAACTTCAATGTCATTTCTGGTCTTGAACTTGTGACTATTTATTTGCATTAACTATTATGTAACACAAGATTATTTGTGATTCATTTCTTCTCTGTTTTAGTATGAACAGGATTGAAAACAGATATGTATAAAATTTTATGATTTTTTTTCTGTACATGAGCCCCCCCCCCCCCCCCCCCCCCGAATTGCTTTTCGTGCTTTTAAAATTTTACTAACCTAGGATCTGGTATATGGACGAAGGCACATCCTTTCATGCTAAACCAACTGAGACCTGTCTTTTCTCACCAGTGTATTTGTTCGATTTGAAATTCTCATTGCTTTGTGTTCACATCTTAATAATTTTAAGATATTTAACCCATATCATGTTATTGCTATGTTCCTGTGCAATTTGTCACTTTGACAACATTTCTTTTTAGTTAGGTGTTTATTGTGTCCACTCTTTACTACCTTTTCAGTTGAAGGACTGTATCTTGTGTATTTGTTCACATGTACATTAATTTTCATTTGAGCACAATAACAGGCTCTCATTTTGTAAAATATTATCGTTAGACTTTACTGTAGACATCTTCTCTTAAAAGGTGGTTTCATGTTGCTTACTATATGCTGCCATCATGATAAAAAGTTAAAGTTTTGGAGCCAAGCAAACAAGGTTCTTTCACCGAACTTTCCCAAACATAGTGAATTACATGTATGCCAATCAAATATAATGAGTTTCTTCAAAGAATAGTTGACCAAGTTCTTTTTGTTTAAACTGTTTTAGAAGGTACATGGTTTCTGCTGTGATGCGTGTGAAAAATAAGGCTCTTTGAATTTTTCACAAAGGATGCCAATGTGAGACATGTTGCACTGTTGAGTACCCCTCTTCAGTGCTGTTTCTAAAATTCTTGTTTTCCCTTATGGGACAGAGAATTGATGTTAGATTTGGATGAGCTTCTACCCTCATCTTCCAAGGCCCAGTCTAGTCCAAACATACCCCTTCTTTGGCGTGTGAAATATTGAATCAATTTCATCCTAGGTGCATATTTATAAAACTAGGTTGTAGAATGAACTTTTTCTTATTTCCTGTCAAAGGGATTTTAAATGTTCCCATTCACGGTGCAATGCATATGTTTGCTGGTATTAGAGATCCTTCTGTTGACTCCTAGAAACCTCCAATATTCTTCCATTTTTCTTCCACACCCCTGAATCTTTTTAATTTGCAAATTTCGATGGAGTTGTGCAGTACTTTGAAAGATGAAAATGGTTTGAAAATAGGGGAAGTGGTATTTATGTCATTACATTTGACAAGTGGTTTACCTTGCTCTGTGAGGAATGATTTCATAGCGTTCCTTTGCTCAGTACACATGATGAGGCTTTTGAAAATGTTGCAATTTTCTATTGTAACACGACCCTCCATTACTACTTTTGTCTGGCTTCCAATCCCTTGTATCTGTAAATCCAGTTATGTGGGACTTCAAATTATGTGTTAGTGTGAAGTGAAAAATTTGTAGAAGTACATCCCTGCGTATTTTAACTGCCTATGTAACTCTTTGTGTCTGAAATAAAAGGCACAGTGAAAGGCCCTAGTGTCAATATTCGTTGTGAGCGAAATATGTAGCATCTACTACCTGTGCATGTAGAAGATAGCTCTTATGGATTTTATGCTATACACAAGAATCACTTCATCACTATGCATTCATTATTTATATTTGTAAAATTGAGCTGTTTTGAGAACTGTTCATAAGGTCGTGCCGTACTACAATGAAAAAACTACCAAAATAAAAATATTTTCAAGGTTCAGAAAGAAATTTATTTAATCTTTCCTCAAACAAATATTTTCACGTCCATTCAGTACCTAGTTGGTAACACATGTATCAGTTGTTCTTCAGGGATGACAGCTTCAGTTCATGAGGCACCCTCAAGGATGGCCTTCCCTCATAATCAGGTGTCGGCCAGGTCGCCGTCAGCTCTCGGTTCTGCCCTCCTTCCTTACTTTGGCACGATATCCGCTAGTTGGCCAGAAGAACGACGGAGGCGGCCAAAATTCTAGACGCGTTTTTATCTTCAAAGTCGCGAAATGGGACTCAAACCGAACGTGTGACCCCACCCATGGGTTCCTCCTTCGGAGAGCAATCTATTGGCGGGGTCATATGTTTGGTTCGAGTCCCATTTAGTGACTCTAGAGCACAAAACGCGTCTAGAATTTTGACCGCCTTCACCGGTTTTCTAGTCCACTGTGTGACTGTGCGCTGTTTGAAGTTGGAGCGGGGAAACGGGACTTCATGACACTAGCCTCGCGCCCTCACCAACTAGCCTCTCAAGGGGACGCACGGCAGCGCACTATACGAAAACAAAAACATCTGGAAGATCTGTTCGTCCCCCGGCTACCCTTTTGATTTTGTAAGATCTTCTATTAACTTGTGACTTTGGTATTCAATCAACAGTCGGAATGGCCATCGATTTCGTCGGTTTCGCGTACGCCGCTTGTGTCGCCGCCGGAGGCATCGCCGGTTACGCCAAAGCAGGTTAGTTTGAACGCAGGTCGGAAACGCCGGATGGCTGTTAAGATTTGATCATAATTTGCTTTTCTCAAGCTTGACAATAGACGCACTTACTTTCACTATCACGACGTATCACGATTGCTTTGGGTTACGCCTCCATTCACTGGATCAACCACTATTAATTAGCATTGTTAGCAAGTTAGGTTAAGTTACGCAATGACTCAATGACTTTTGCGATTTCCCACAATAAAGTCTTTCTTTTACCCCCATTGTGTTGGGTCACATGACTGAAAATGTCGCATGCACTTTGCAGTGCTTGTGTTCACATTATAAGCCTGGTTCAACAGTATTTTTCTTAATGTATGCGTAAACGTTCAATTTGACTACAGGTGGTTCACACCTTCACACCTGGAGTTCACATGATGTCTTTCTTTGACAACCATTTCTCTTAATATCGTATCCAATAGCCTCTATTTCTCAATTTCAACTTTTCTGTGAACACAAGGCCCTTTCACATTTTTTAATAAATTTCCTGAGCGGATGAAGAGCTTTTTCTAGTAGGCGGCAGTTTAAAGTTCAAGGTAAGATGGTAATTTGTTTTGTGGAATGCTTCATGCCTTGGACTTTCTATCTTTCATTCTTTATTTTTCACTCATAGAAAAATATTTCATTTGTTGCTGTCCTTTTAATTAGTGTGTGTTTAATCTGTTTGTGTAGGTAGCATACCGTCTCTGGGTGCTGGACTCCTCTTTGGTGGCGTGCTCTCCTATGGAGCCTTCCAGGCCAGCCAAGCTCCTAGCAGCCATGCAGTGATGCTTGGTGCCAGTACCTTTCTCACTGGCATGATGGGCATGCGATACTACAATTCTGGGAAGTTCATGCCAGCGGGTTTTGTAGCCCTTTTGAGGTATTTATTTGCTCAAGTTCTTGTGTCCCCCTCTTAAGTTCTCTCCCCTCTCACTATTTAATGAGCCAAAATATGTCGTTGTCTTTATTACAGTCTAACCATGATGCTTCGATACTCAGCTCGCGGCTTGGGTATTTTAGAGAGCAACGCAGCACGTCCTGTAGCCCAGTGAGGTATGGGTCATGTTAAGAGCTATGTCTAGTTCTTAGTCCAACAACTCAACTCTTACACATGTTATCTTATTTCCTGTTACTAGTACAAATGTGAAAGGTTGGTCACTTACTCGTGTGACAGTACATTACAGTTATTATTTTCCCCTTTTTTATCAGAGAAATATATAAATGTCAATCAAATTCTTTATTGGTTCTTTTTATTTATAGTCTCCAGAAGCCTGCAGGTAATTTTGTCATAGAAAATAAATAATCACATGCTTTCCTTGGAAGGCGATTGTGACATGGCTTTAGTATATCACAACATTTCATTTATTCCCACCAGCATTTTACAGACGAATGTTACAGGCATCTTGATGATTCACTAGATTACCGTCCTAGCCTTATTTAGTACTTGAAATCTCTCTGTATAGTAGTGGGTTCATCATTTATAGAATTAAGAACAGTAAACCCATGAATTGGCTTTATATTTACAGAAATCTTCAGAGCTTAAAATGCAATGCCCCCTAAGTTACAAAGCCTGTAGGAAATTTTGAATTTCTATTTTCTTGGCACTTATCTTATGTGGCTATTGTTGCACAATTGTTTGCATTTCCTAAGGTTTTCCAAATATAGAGAGATTACATTTTATTTTTCAATTACTAAATGGCTTGTGGATAGTAAAGGTCTTCCATTACTGAAAAAAATTAAGGTTAATATAAATACCTTACTTTAACAGTACAGAGTAACTTGTTCTTAAAAATTATTCAGAAGCCGAGTTGTACTTTTCTCTTTATTTCACACTCATACTGCTAATCAGAAGCTTTCAGGAACACTAAGAAGGATTTTTCCCATCCAACTTACACTTTCAGATAGAAAGAACAAGATTCAATTTTTTTTAAAGAATGATGTCACAATGTTCTTGTTCTCTGCCCTTGAACATCTCTTCTATCTGTACATCATTTGATTTGAGTTCGTTGAATAATAGTAATAAATAATGGTTTCAGGATCAATGATGTTGACCATTAGATCACTTCAACACTGACAAAAGAGTGTTACAATGTTTTCTATTCAGTTAACACTTCGACAATTTAGCAGTATAACTGGAAAGTGACATATTTACAAAGTAAAAGCAAGAAAATAATTGTTTTGTCCCATGAGGCTGTAAAAATTCTGACAACAGTTCCTAGATGTGTTAGTTCAAATGAAATGTGGTTTTGTTAATGATGCTTGTGTCATCTCATACAAATATGTATTTATATTTATATATATACAAATGTACAAAGTTTGTGGTAACAAGAATGTATAATAATATCTCTGCTACAAGGCAAAGAAAATTGCAATACTTTTTCATCACATCTCTTGGATTACTTAAGAAGGAACATAACAATGCTGTAACAAAATAATAGTGTAATAATTTTCACATTTTTTTCCCTTTTGATATTAAAAAAAAATTGCAAATTGTTGCACCCTGGCATGTACTGTTCAATCTCCATTACTTCTTTACTAACTTTGGGACCTAAAATTAAGTAATTCCTTCATATATAAATCTAAAACCATCAATTCATTAGACTGATTCTTCCTAATAGTAAATGGATTTGATTGATTTACATAACAATTCCTATAACTGCACAGCAGTTTTCACATTCAGCTACATTTAAATGGTAACATTTTGTTACTCGTTATTGGACTCTTGATCACTAAGAGTCTAATTGTGTTCCTTTCTTGCCGGTAGGACTGTTATTGCAGTCTTCTCATTATCTGTTTTGTCTCACAATTTGCACCGAGTCTTGACCTTGTTGGAAACATTATTTACATTGAAGGTGCTCTTATGAAAACAGCAAGGACTTGAATTTTTCTCCTGCCTATATGGCAAGTCATTAAAAATTCTTTGCAGGAGGGGAAACAATAAATAACAAGTTCCCCTGTGGGTGTTTTTTTCTTTCAGAATTTAACAAAGTTGGTCTTAGATGGCAATACAGATCTTGACTCTCTTCTGACAAATTGAATTGGCAGTGTGTTCAGAAAATGTTTAGAGCCCCTACTCTGATCACAGTTTTAAAATAATTGTTACAACATCTGGTGAACAGATGAACGTTTCTTCCACGCACAGGAAATATACCTGGCAGTCACCTTGAAGTTGGGCATACTTCTCGTTGAGAGGCACAGCAGCTCTTGCGCATTGAATGGTAATTGCAGTACTGGAAACCATAACGCTCCAAAAACTCTCTGCATGTGAGGCCGCCACTAATGGAGCGAGCTACATCCACACATTCCTCAGTGCCTGCCACTGAAAAAAACAGAGTGAGAAATTCAATTTTAATTAAAGTTTCCCTTTAAGACTAAATTGGAACAAGACTTGAATCTTTTGTGACATTGTTAGTAGCTGATCAGTTTGAATACAGATTAATAAAGTTGGTCTGCAACGATGCTCTTCTCATGCTGGCAACTTTGCATTTGATTTCCCAAGCAAACGAGTCAATATTTAATCCAGCACCATTTCAGGCAGCATCACCTAGAGTATTTATCATTCCAACTGCCTCATGCAAGCAGGCTAAAATACTTGAAGTCTCATAGCAACATTTGTCACAAATCACAAAAGTCTGAAGTAGCAGTTGTTGGGTTAGGGTGGAGAAGGAGTTGTTGGTCAATGAAGAGTGACAGCTGAATAGTATAAGCTAGCTTGCTCTCCATTCACTTTGAATTGTAGAGTCTTATAATCAAAGCAAAATAGAGAAGAAAACAAAGCATCAGCTTCAAGAGTTCCAAGAAGTATGAACACATTTAAATGTACACACAATGAACTGAAAGTTTTAATTGGCAAAGAAAATGAACCATTTTGGACCAGTATTAATCATAGACAAAAATTTGAACTTAGACTTGTAGAAGCATGTAAGCAAGGAAGGAGTAGCACTTGGCTGAATTTCAATTACTTTATTGGAAAACCACTGAAGGCAAATTAGTCACCCTCTTTGACTTACCAGGCTTTGTGTTGCTGTCTAGATAAAGTGGTGCGGATGGAGGTGGAGGTTGTGAGTGGATAGGGTCAGGGTTTGGGGGGTCTGGAGATTGGCTCCCTGCTAGAGCATGATTCTCGTAGTTGCTCGTACCACTTGACTCGTAGTATGGTCTTGGTGTTGTAGAGGTCTTGTAGTACAGTTCATATGCTGCATATGGGTTTTGTGTTGTTGATTGTGTTTTATAATACTCATGTGGATTGTTAGTTACAGATGAGTAATAATTATTTTCTCTCTTTTCGTGTGTTTGTCTTTGCTTTCCAAAGTCACTAAAATCATATGGATTTTTTGTTGTTGTCTGAATAGGTGCTTGTCTACTAGAGGTTCTGTAGTACTCCTCATATTCATTAGGTCTCGTTGTAGATGTTCTGTAGAATTCAGCATAAATATTTGGGCCCTCGGTGGTTGAAGTTCTATAGTAATCTTCATACAAATTTTGAGATGCAGTAGTTGTTTTATAATAGTCATATAAATTTTGCTTGGTGGTTGATGTTTTGTAATACTCATCATACAAGTTACTTTTTAATGTAGAAGTTCTGTAGTACTCTTCATACAAATTAGGCTGTGCTGAAGAGGTTTGGAAGTAATCTCCTGGAGATTCAGGTTGTGCTGAAGGCGGTGGGGATTGAGGTAATGTCGATTTTCCAAAATTACTAAAATCATAAGGACTCTTAGTTGTACTGAAAGTTTGAAAATAGTTTGGACTTGTGGTGACTTTCTGTGGTATTTGATCATTTTGATAATTTTGAAGTCCATCTGTCACATTGTAAACTGGTTGCTGGTCATTATTCTGATAATGCACAGGCCAGTTATCATTTATAGTGGAATGATGATGAGTCTGTTTGTCATCATGTTGCAGAGAAGTTTTGAAGGCATTTTCATCATTGGCTCTCAAGCTGTTTCCTGCCGCATGGTTTTGTAGATTTTGGTTTTGTGTTGTGTCGTATGATGTTGAGTAAGCGTAAGTGATGTATGATTTTGTAGTTTCTGGGCTAGATGTTGTCGTTATGTCATTAAGTCGGTCGTTCCAGAACTCGGCCCAGTCAGACCTGTAGTTTACCAAAATTGGTACAAATGTGTTAGCTTTGTACTGTTTTCACAGTGAGTCAGTTCCTTACATTATAATTATATCAGAACTATTAATAACATCATGCATTAATGAAGTAAAAGGCTGGACCATAGAACAAACTCCTTAAAAAAAGATTTAAAAAAAGGAATTTCTGCATTTTATGCTTTTAGATCACTTAAGTATTTTAGTTTTGATTGAAAAAAAGAAACAAGATTATATTTTTGGCTTGGTCAAACCCTTTTCTCCTTGCGCTTAAAAAGTTATTAGGTATTATATTCATTCAATACAATACAGTACATGTCCCTTGTATGCCCAAATTCCTACACCACTACATTCGGTACCCAACCATTGATGCAAGTCAAAATGCAAAATATGGCATGACCATCAATTTAAATTACTTTACAACGTACACTTTGTACTCATTTCATCAAAACACTGTTCATATTTTTAATTTTCAATCTGAGCTTAATCATTGAATTGGTCATGCATTTATGTACAGTGCATGCTTTCTTTCTATTTCAATGCAAATCTCAATTAAATTTTGACCACCTGCAAACTTCCTGTAGAACATACATGCCATCTTTACCTTTGTGTGGTGATGTTATATGTGTAGTAAGGTCTTGGCTGTGATGAGCCATCGTCATCAATCCTTCTTAGGAACGCTGGAGCGTTTTGAGAATAGTCAGGAATAATATTTTCATGCTCCACCACACACTTGCCATTCATACAGTACTGTAAGAAAAAGAAAGCACTCTTAGAATCCATCTGTCCCACAATTCCTGTTACTTCTTGAAGGTAGAATATTCCAACATTTACCTGGCCATCTCCACAAGGTGAACCTTCTGCCGCAGGTCTATAGGCTACACAGTAACCAGAGCCAGAATCAAAGCAGAAGAGTTGTGCACACACCCTATCATCTTTCTGTAATCCAAAATACAATTTTTATTTTCTTTTTTCCAAATTTTGTTGAGTATTTTCAGTTAAGTCAAGGTAACAACCATCAACTTACAAAGCATGCACTAGTTCCTCTGTCTTTGCGACATTGGGCATCTAATGTGAGGAGCTTGCCAGGTAACACTCTTGGCAATGACTCATCCTCATGAGGTGAGTTGTAAAGGCATGTTGCTGTATCACCACTGAAATGAAATTAAGTCATTTGTGAACAAGATTTGCCAGATTTAAGAGACTGGAATGCTTGCTTTTCTTGGTTGTGTTTTCTCCCTTACTTGAGAAAATGATGAAATGATGCTACAGTACATGGAGACCACTTAAATCCTTTCTCTGTGTGACGTAAATCACTCATTATATACCCATCTTCCCATCGGCATTTTTCCGCCCCTGGACCGCCAAGGTAGCTAGGAGGTGGTGACCCATCATGTACAGCACCCAACCTGTTGAATAATTTTCATATCAGTGCTCTTTGCTATCACAACAGTAAATATCTAACAGTAATTAAAATGAATTTTACATACAGATGTCCAACTTCATGGGCGGCGACAATGATACCAGAGAATCCACCAGTGTCCTCAATAATCGCCACACTGTTGACTTTCTCCAGTCGTTTGTTGACCACACATGCTCCTCCAACATATGCAAAACCTGTATAAGCACAAGTTATTTCATTAATTTAATTTTTTCATACTTGTTGCGCAACCTTCCTTTTTGGTTTTGAGGAATTCTATTTAAATTATTTATTTTGAAATAAGTTCAAGGAGCAAACTTGTGCACCACCTGAAGTGCCACAAGTCTTTTTTTTTCTTTACATTTCTGAAAGTTAGTAGAGTTGATGTGTACAGCTCGTTAAATACAGCAATGAAGTTAGCATTCCTTTCCCTTTGTTAGTAGAAAGTCGAAGTTTGGCAATTTTATGCAATGTTAGCCGACCTCATTGTCAAGATGCATTCTGTTAGTGGATGCACCCATCCCCATGCCCATTTCACATAGCTTTTCTCCACTGGTTCCTGATTTTGGGAGATGAAGTAACAGCTTACCTTTGGCTGCTGTTGTCCTCAGGCTATGAATTGAGACACTGATTTTACCTAGGTTGGTATGGTTTATAACCATCCATGTGTTATTGGACCATAGGTTGAATTAAAATTTTGTATCATTCAAGAAAAATGTGGGTTACAGAAGTCAGTCATTTAGAAGTAGTCTGATAGAAATGCGAAGCTGTCACACAAAATGGCTGTTATGTGCTATTTGCGGCTGTTCAGCAAGTATAAAATAGAAATGTCAAGAATTCTTTCTTTGTCGGGTTTGCAGTGAAAGCAACACAAATAGCTGTGAAGAACATAAAATGGAGCGAGTATGAATGAAATGTGGGGTGATTTCTTTTCTTTTTTTTCTGATGATGATGCCGACTTATGTGGTATTATGGTATTTTAAAAGTCTAATCTGCTATATGGATTTTTCTTTTTTTTTTCTGCCTGAGTAGGAAAGTACTAACCTGCTGTGCCCCTGTTGCAGGCATCATTTGGGTACTGTCTTCTGCACATATCTAATCTGCAATCACACAAGCACACCACTGGAACACCAACCCACACCTTCCTTGACCCCCCAAAATTCTCCAAATTAACATTGGTTAATGGCCCACATTATGTACAAGAATGACACTGCCATCTCACATTATAACATTGGCTGAAACATGAGTTGGGTTTGCAACTTGGTGCTACAGCCAAGTTAATTGTAGAGAACAGTGCTCTGGACTTTGACTTAAAATGCAATTGCTATTACACTACTATCAGTTGCCCTTTAAACCTGCTTTAGTGTTCAAGAAGAGTTTGGATTTAAAAAAAAAATGTTTTAATAGATAGGAAGTATCACACACCAAAGCAAAGTTTGTCGGACTTGAATATGTACATACACTAAAGGCTGCGATGGGAAGCGCATCCTGACTATGACTTTTTTTTTTCTTTAAATATTTCCTCAAGCAACTGTCTTCATTATGGTCTGCGCTTCCCAACACAACCTACCAGACCCCCATGTTAGCCCAATCCATCCCGTTGCAATCCGTTCCAATCCAATCCAATCCGTTCCGATGCAGAAAGTTGTTAGGTCTTGGCAATGGTTGCCCTGGTAGAGGCACTGCGCTCCGCGACCTACCAGCGGTGCCCTTGGTGCAGCGGCCCCCTTTGCGACGGCGACACATGTCATACCTGTCAACCACACATTATGACGCACACACACAAACACACACAGTCGACACACTGGTGTGCACTGTCGAGAAATGCTGAAAAGTGTCCGCAACTTCACAATAGGTCATCAGATTTCAAGCTAGGGTTTCAATCTTTTATAATTTAATAAATAAGGGAAACGTTTTTATTTTTAAAATCAAATTAACTGGTTAAGATTGTTTTTGTGAAGGTGCGGAATGCATTTAAAATTCTTTACATTAATAACATTGTTCCCAAGGTACTTCAAGTAACTGAGGGTGGGTTGCCTTGCTTGACAAATCAGTTGATCTGCATGCACCTGACATGGGCTTGACGACAAAACTCACAAGTGCTGAAAATTTTTCATGCCTCACCAGAACACATTGGCATACTTGCGTTCTAAAAGCTAAAAATATTCTTTTTTAGAAGAAACATTGCGTGGTTGGTGGGGAGCCTTACTTGGTGACAGCCACCGCGATGTCGTAGACGGGCAGGCGCCTCTCCCGGAACAGGTACTTCCCCATGTCCGTGAGCGCGGCGGCGGAGTCGATGGCGTCCCTCCCGACGCGGTTCCGCTCCAAGTAGGGCGTGGCGTCCCTCCCCTGTGCACAGAGAAGGCCAGCCAGGCCAGCTTAGGGCAAGTCCGAACGCGTGGATACCTAACCCCCTGCTCGTATTGTTTCAGGTTCTGCTTGAGGTCCCCCGTGGTCCCCCGCCACCAGGCCACCAGCACGTCGGCAACGCTGAGTCCTCGTAGACCGGACTTCCCCATCGACGACATTGACAGCACCACCCTTCGCGTCGGCCACGTAGACAGCGTGACCCTCACCGTCAGCGACGTAGACAGCGCAACCCTCACCGTCAGCGACGTAGACAGCACAACCCTCACCGTCAGCGACGTAGACAGCACAACCCGAGGACACCATGTCGTGCGCCGAGGCCGTGTTCAAGTACATGGTGGCGCAGAACAGGCCGTACAGCGCCACGGATGTGACCATGAACCTGGGCAACCAGCACAGCAAGGGCGCCGTGCAGAAGGCCCTGGAGCAGCTGGCGCAGCAGGGCCGCCTGCTGGAGAAGGAGTACGGCAAGCAGAAGGTGTACTGCGCGCTGCAGAGCGGCGGCGCCTCCAAGGAGACCCTGGCCAAGGAGCTGCAGGAGCTGGACGCCGCCATCGCCTCCGCCACGCAGAACCTCAACGCCGTGAACCAGCAGGTCGGTTGGTGTCGCCTCGGCTGCCTCGGCGCACGGTGGATTTGCCAGAAGACCGACGGAGGCGGCCAAAACTCTTGGCGCGTTTTGAGCTCCAGAGTCGCTGAACGGGACTTCAACCGAACGTGTGACCTCACCAATGGATTCCTCTTTCGGGGAGCAATCCATTGGCGGGGTCACACGTTCAGTTCGAGTCCCATTTAGCGACTTTGGAGCTCAAAACCCGTCTAGGATTTTGGCCGCCTGCGCCGGTCTTCTGGCCCACTGTGCGGCGTCTACATGGGCCGCTCTGGAATCCCTGTACTGATCCTGACATGTCTGCAGTTCAACGAGTCCGAGGCCGTGTACAAGGAGCTCAGCTCGGGGCCCACCACCGAGGAGGCCGAGGCCGAGGTCGCCGCCCTGGACGCGCGGCTGCAGCGCCTCCGGACCAAGCTCGCCGACCTGGCCGACAACTGCATCAGAGTGAGTACCGAGAATTTCAGCGTATTATTTATCCCGATCACATTTTCCCTTGGCTCCGCGGCCTCACACAGTGGGCCAGAAGACCGGTGGAGGCTGTCAAAATCCCGGGCGGGTTTTGAGATCCAGAGTCGCTAAATGGGACTCGAACCGAACGTGTAACCCCACCAATGGATTGCTTCTCCTCCAACGAGGGTTCCATTAGTGGGGTCACACGCTCGGTTCGAGTCCTGTTTAGCGACTCTGGAGCTCAAAACATGTCCACAGTTTTGGCAGCCGGCGCCGGTCCTCTGGCCCACTGTGCCTCGGCCAAGGTGTCTAGACCTCCAGGACTTCCCCGCTGACGGGCGCGTGCTTTTGTTCGCAGGTCAGCCCCCAGGACCGGCAGCGCATCTCGCGACAGCACGAGACCATCATGCGGGAGTACAGGAAGAGGAAGCGCATCTGCAACGAGATGGTCAACGAGATCCTGGAGGGCTACGACAAGAGCAAGAAGACCCTCCTGGAGGAGCTTGGCGTCGAGACGGACGAGGACGCCGGAGTCAAGCTGTGAAGAAGTGCTCGCTCCCGCGTGGCATTGCTTCATACAAGCTTAGGTCTCATTTATGATTAAGCCTTTCTATTATTATTATTTAAAATGAAGTTGAGAATGAATTGTTTAACTCATTCTTGTTAGATGTACGTACTTTTTATTTCAACATTATATTGTAATTAACTATATCTCTTACAAGACTGATCATTTATTTTTGTGAACTTGTTAGGAACAAAGTACATGAGGTGTTCTTCTTTTCGTTGCATATCTTCAACTGCTGTGATTTACATTTTATAAAAATTTTCTCGTGAAATATACGTGCGATGAACTTGTCAAACTTATGTCCGTTCTCTTCATTTCACCCCAACATGTCTTTTTCGGAGTGGTGGACTTCCACTACTTGTCATTTTTAACGTGGTGACTTCCACTAGTAATGTCTTTTTTAAAGTGGTGGACTTCCACTTACACGGTAAAAACGGTTCCTGGTTTTTCCAGGAACTCCCTGGAAATCTCCTATGTCTTCACCATAGGCTTTCTGGGAAAACCAGGAACCGTTTTTACCGTGTATACTGTCTTTTATAAAGTGGTGGACTTCCACTGGATTTGCCTCGTGTTCCTACGAGTCTTACCCGGGAGATGATGATGCCAGCGATGCTGATGCGTATGCGGGGACCCTTGAGCAGTTTGTACCGCAAGTCCACGCCGTTCCAGAAGGACACGAAGTATCTCTTGATTTGGACGTTGTCACCCCCGTGCAATCTGACGAGAAAAACAGGTCCGATTTTTAGCATGCGCCTGACAAGTAGGCACCCCACCCTCCACAGCCTCTGAGCTCAACCAGCGTCACGGAAGAAGTCATTTCCACAAGGAATAAAATGAGTTAAAGACCATTGGGCACCGGATATCTATTTCTAAGACCCATAGCAACGTTCCATATGAATTTCAGACAAATCTGAGATGGTCGACCATTGTCGTCGAAAAAATGTTGAAACCAATAGATAAAAGAAATGCTAGTTAAATAAAATGAGCTGAGAAAAATGATTTTTTACAGTTTTGGGTAAAAAATTTAAAATGGTCCAAATTCAAGGGTGTTCTGCTGGAGCACTCCGTAATGACTCCCGACACAATTTCGGCCCTGAAGAGTCTATTTTCAGCTAAAAACTGGTATTTGAGCGTTGCTGGCAAGGTAGGCAGCCCATCGTACACTCGTTGGCAGAGCGCGGCGCCGGTGTTACCTGTAGCCGTCGTAGTCCACGATGACAAGGATCTCGGGGTAGATGACGTAGGGTGCCTCACGCTTCACGATGGAACGCCTCGCCCTGGAGCCGCGGGCAGGGATGGAGTCGGGCTCCATGAAGGCTGTGGGGCAGCAAGACTCAGTCACTCATTCACTCACAGGCTATGAACCAAGCACAGTGGGCCAGAAGACCGGTGGAGGTGGTCAAAATTCCGGATGCGGTCGCTAAATGGGACTCGAGCCGAATGTGTGACCCCACCAATGGATTGCTGTCCGAACGAGGAATCCATTGGTGGGGTCACACGTTCGGTTCGAGTCCCATTTAGCGACTCTGGAGCTCAAAACGCGTCTAGAGTTTCGGCCGCCTCCACCGGCCTACTGGTAAATCCACTGTGCGGCGTCCTCGAGTTACGCCCAAAGTGGAATAACTTTTGCCGACAGGCGCTCCCCGGTTGCGACAGCGGCAGCGTGTATCGTCTCGGTTACCTTAACGCTGTCACTTCCCCGGCCGCCCCGACGGCGACCTTTCACGCCGACCCTTCGACGATCCCCAACAACATCGCTCTGTCTCTGTCGCACCCCGACGGCACGCCCCGTGCGTGCGAGAGAGACAGGGCGACACTGCCCTGGTGGCGCCAGCGCGGGCGGGCCGGCCAGGCCGAGGGCCAGGCGATCCCGCACGCACGCCTCGGCCGCCGATGTGACATTTCAGTGACTGGGGCCTAAAGGTTTTCCGGCACCCTGTCCACGGCGTCCCCGGCGTCCACGGCGTCCACGGCGCACGCAGCGCGCTCACTTGTGCCCTTTTAGCGCCGCTGCTGCTTGACGTTCGCTTGGAGCCGCGCTGCGTCCGCCGTGCGTCCGCCGTGCGTCACGCGAAGAGCCACGCAGCCCGTGGTCGCGCCACGCGGAGTTACGTGGGTGTGAGCTCAGCCATGGCGAAGCGCGAAGCGCGCAGGGGGTTCACCTCGTCCCTCAGCACGGCGTTCTCGACGCTCTGTCTCTCTCGCACTCGTGGGGCGCCCCGTAAGGGCGCGAGAGAGACGGGGGACTCTCGGAGTCAGCGTGCAGGCCGGGCACCTTTAAGCAGCCTTTGCTGGAACTAGGGCAAGCAGCAGCTAGCAGCAGCGAGTCGGCACAGTCCAGCCAAGGCGAGCCAAGGAGTGCGGAGGCGGGGAGGATGCGTCTGACCCATCCCATCCCATCCCACACTATCGCATCCCAGGCCTTGCTGCGCCCCGAGACCGTCCAAGAGAACGCGTCCAGAGCGGAGACCTCAACGCGCCGCGATACGGGTTGCGATTGCAAGGCCTGGCGGGCTGGCTCTCTCGCACCCCCTGGGCGCGCCCCACGAGTGCGAGAGAGACAGAGCGACTGGCTTGCCCGGAGGACGGGGCGAAGAAGCACGTCGCACGCGGCACGCGGCCGCGCATTTAAAACAGTCTGAGATAACCGACGTCCACGTTTCAGGTGCACCCGTCCGGTCGTCTCGTCGCTCTGTCTCTCTCGCACCCTCCAGGGACGTCCCATGAGTGCGAGGGAGAGAGAGAGAGAGAGAGAGAGAGACCTCCCACTCGGAATCAGCCTCCAGAAAGTCGCTGCCCGAGATGCATCTCAGCACACCCATCCTAAGAGGAGTTTTCGCCGCTGCGTCTCTCTCGCACTACAGGTGCACCCTGTCAGTGCGGGGGAGACAGAGCGACGAAAACGACTTAAGGAATGAGTCTACAGGCTGCTGCGCGGAACCCCCAACATTTTGTCCTTTCTGGTGTAGGTCTTTTAGCAGTGGTGCCTCTCCCCTGCAGTCCGCGGCATCCTCTCCAACTCCTCTTATGCTGATAGGCGCTAGGCGCTCCACATACCGGTCAGCGCGGCGAGCGCAGAGCACAGCAAGGTGGCGCGGATGATGTAACCCCCCCCCCCCCCCACCGAGCACCGCACCCATCGCACCGCATCGCACCGCATCGCGCCGAGAACCCTGGCGGTGCCGAGCGTTACTAGAAACTAGAGCAAGCACTCCGGACATTTAGGAGGACTTGGCTTGCAATCCGGATGAAAAAAAATCTTGACGCCGCGGCCGGGAGTCGAACCGCAGTCCCCAGGGTGGGGAGCGACGATTTAACGATCTCGGCCACCACCGTTCCCGATGCTCACCGTAGTCGCTGAGGTCGGCGTGCACGTGGTCCGCGTCGCTGCCGGCGCGCTTGAACACGATGTGCGCATGGTGCTCGGCCGCGCGGCGTAACCGGCGCCGGCCCTGCCGCACGTCGGCGTCGCCGTCGGCGTCCTCGTACCGCACGTCACCGTTCGAGTCCTTGCCGAGCGGGAAGCCGCGCACCACCTCGTCCTGCGAGGCGTCCTCGTCGTCCAGGAACATCTCGTCGTCGGGGTCCTGGTGCTTGGGCCTGGCCAGGTGCTGGCGCACGGACGCGGGCACCGGCTTCACCACCAGGTCGTGGCCGATGGTGCCCTCCTGGAACAGGGAAAGAAAGAGTAAGCGCGTTGCACAGCAGACTGATTCCGAGAGTCGTTTTCGTCGCTGTGTCTCACTCACACCTACAGGGGACGCCGCACGAGTGCGAGAGAGACACAGCGACGAAAACGACTCAGCGCGGAGCGGCGTGGCGTGGTCAGGGCCGCCTGGTTCAGTCATCTTTGCGGCGGCTGCGCGCGAGGCGGCCGCGCGGCCAGTCCGGGCAGTCCGGGCCAGTCCGGCCGGGGCGCATCGGACTGCCTCGGACGCAGCGAGTCCTAAAATGTTAAACCGCCTTGTAGTAATCCAGTAAGGGCAGTGGGTCGAACAGGTCGAACGCCCCGGCGGCCCGGCACCGCGCCGGCACGGCACCAGCGTGACTCCAGCGACCCGCGCCTCCTCAGACCGTTCTCTGTCTCGCTCGCGCGCACGCGGGACGGCCCACGAGTGCGAGAGAGACAGAGCGACGAAAACGACTCTCGGAATCAGTCTACGGCACCGCAACGCCGGCACGCCGGCCGCGCCGGCGGCAACAGTCACGTTCTTATCAGACCATATAGCGCGTCCGTGCTAACCTGACCCGCGCCGCTCCCGAAACCGAGTCTAACAGTTCGCGCCTTCTAGGGCCTCGAAGGGCGGGGCCTCACACTCATTCATTAACTAACGGGGCTCCCGTGGCGCGTTTAGGCTGCCGATTGGCTGTCGGCCAGCAGACTGATTCCAAGAGTCGGTTTCGTCGCTCTGTCTCTCTCGCACCTGTACGGGACGCCCATGAGTGCGAGAGAGACAGAGCGACGACTCTCGGAATCAGTCTGCGGAGTGCAGAGCGCGGCGCCCTAAACGGAGAGGAGGCTAGTGGGTTCGGTTCGGGGCGCCGCTTGGCGCTTGCCGCTTGGCACACGCCGCCGACGGCCTTGACACCCTCAGCGCGCTCAGCCTGCTCAGCGCGCTCAGCACAAAGCGGGCCGCCAGGGCGGCAGGCACCGCCGGCACGGCCGGGACGGGCAGGGTCAAGGGAGTCTCGGGCTCGCCGAACAACGCCACGCGCGCCGCGGCCACACTTGCAGCACCGAGGCATGGCCCGCCCCACCCCGCCCCGCCCCGCCCCGCCCCGCCCTGACAAATGAATGGATGGATGGCGCTCGTTTTCCATGAGAGCCGCCACCGCCACCGCCGGCCACAGGCAACAAGAGGCAACTGCTTGGAGGCAAGGACGATCACTCACTGCGAGTGACATCACCCGCCAGAGTCCACGGGGCACGGCGACTACACTGCGGAAGGTGCGGCCGGTCCCCCGCACCACCGCGTCGTCCAGGAGGCCCCGGACACTTCCGAAGCGCACAGTGGGCCAGAAGACCGGCGCAGGCGGCCAAAACGCGCTAGACGCGTTTTGAGCTCCAGAGTCGCTAAAAAGTACTCGAGCCGAACGTGTGTGGCCCCACCAATGGATTTCTCGTCCGGAGAGCAATCCATTGGTGGGGTAACACGCTCGGTTCGAGTACTTTTTAGCGACTCAAACCGCGTCAAGAGTTTTGGCCGCCTGCGCCGGTGTTCTGGCCCACTGTGCAGCGGCGTCGTCACGCCGTCTCTCTCGCACCCGTGGGGCGTTCCAGAGGGGAGCGAGAGAGACAGCGCGACAATGCAGGGCGGGCAGGACGGGGCGCCCTTACAGGCGAGGGGGAGTGGGGCGGCGCTCCAGATCACTGCAGGCACACTGCAGGAATAGTTGCAGCGCCAAGGACGCGGCTGACGCGGCGTGCACCACACTGCACACAGCTGCCACACTTACAGTGCGCTGCCACGCCTGCGCGCTCCTCGCCGCCACCGTCACCGCCACGCAGATGGCCGCACCTGCCGCGCGCCGCCGCGCTCCCGAACGGCGCGTCGTTCCGTCTCTCTCGCACCCCTGCGCCCCTGGGCGCCCCGCGAGTGCGAGAGAGACGGAGCGCACTCTTCGGACGCATGGGGGAGCTGCAGCGCGCTCTGCCCTTTTACACCCGGATGCCACGACGTGGTACCCTCCTCATTACTGTCAGCACACACCCTTCTACAGCGGGGACACACGCACACTAACACGCACGCGCGCACACACACACACACACACGCACACTAACACGCACACACACACACACACTCACACACACTGACACACACAAACACTTACACGCCCACAGACGACGGTGCGCGCTGTGAGCAAACGGGGCGCTTTGGGGCCGAAAAAGGGAGGCGGACACACTCACCAGGAGGTACGAGCCGTCGGGGTCCCGGTGCAGCAGGATGGCGGCCTGGCTGTCCTCGTCCTGGAAGATCTCCCCGATGTGCTCGCCGTCCTGGAAATAACGAAGAGAGCGATGTGTCAACAAACCATAACACGACACTAACTGCAACATCAACGCCCACAACCACGACAATCGCAGTTTTGTCTATTTCGTTGTGATCTGTCTCTGTCGCACCTGTGAGGAGGTCCTTTAGAATGCCGGAGAAAGAGAGAGAGAGGGGGGTGTCTTCGGAATCGCTCGGCGGACAAGGCGGCGGACAACACGGAAAGCAGTGTGGCAGGTCGTTTGGCTGCTGGCGACTAATTTGCCAATTTGACGGATAAAAGTGTATCTGCGGCTTCGGGCGGCTGACCGCACTTCCCGCTGTCGTTGCCGTCACAGCGTCGCAGCCGAGGCGCAAGTCTATTTCCAGCTCCACTGACTCACGCCGCGTGTGTGTCCACGGCCGAAATTGGCCCCGGTGGGACTCGAACCCGCGCCGTCAGCGTCTCTTCCGCGCACGCAGCGAGCAGAGTGGTCTCGTTCGCAGCAGAATACTGATTCCGAGAGTCCTTGTCGTCGCTCTGTCACAGTCGCACCCGAAGGCGCCGCGCTATGAGTGCGAGAGAGACAGACCGATGAAAACGACTCTCGGCATCAGGACGAGTGGGTGCGCCGTGTGAGGTGTCGCTACGTGCCTTATAAAGGATCTGCTCCGCTCCTTCGGGATCTCCTTCGGGATCCCCTTCGGGATGATCCAGCACGCTCGGCCTTGGCGTCCGTTCCCAAGCAATCCCCGACCCATCCCGTTTTAACCACTGCAGCCGAGCCCCGCGGCACCGCGGCACTCTAAAAACGCGCGAGCAAAGTTATGCGCTGCTTGTGCTGCTCCCTGCAGAGCTGCAGCAGAATGATTCCGAGAGTCGTCGCTCTGTCTCTCTCGCACCCATAAGAACGCCCCATGAGTGCAAGAGAGACAGAGCAACGAGGAACGACTCTCAGGCTGCAGAGCAAGCTCTCGCACAATGGTGGCCACACCTCCCACGCGTTTGGATGAGCACGCCGTCGTGGAGGCAGCCGCCGTTGCTCAGTGGGCCAGAAGACCGGTGGAGGCGGTCGAAGCTCTAGACGCATTTTGCGCTCCAGAGTCGCTAAATGGGACTCGAACAAATCGTGTGACCCCACCAATGGATTGGTCTCCGAACGAGGAATCCATTGGTGGGGTCACATGCACGGTTCGAGTCCGGGATTTGGACCGCCTCCACCGGCCTTCTGGCCCACTGTGCGTTGGAGTCGGGCGCCTTGCTCGGCGAGGGCAGGCGAGGGTTGCGTGCCGCCCTCCTATAAGGAGGCGCCCATCGACGGCGTGCCCCAGTTTCCTCAGTGCGATACCGCCAGGCCGGCAGGCCGCGCGCCGCACTCGGACAGGCCGCCCCGCCGCCGACGCGGGCCGCCAACGCCGACGTCAGTCAGCCGTCACCCCGGTGGATTCCGAACGCACAGCCTGGCCGAGCCGAGCCGAGCCGAAAGGGCGCACGACGGTGGTCACAAGCGGTCAAAGAGATGGCCTGCAGACTGATTCCGAGAGTCGCTTTCGTCGCTCCGCCTCGCTCCCACCAACACGGGACGCCCCATGAGTGCCAGAGAGACAGAGAGACAGAGCGACGAAAACGGCTCTCGGAATCAGTCTGCAGGCTGCAGGCCGCCTCTTTGCAGGCGGTCGAAGCTGTCAGAGGCGGCGCATTTGCGTGCCGTTCTGCGGCTGCTTGTCCCCGCAGTCGCCTCGCCAGCTTCGCCCCTCCCCCACCACACTGTACTCCAGATTCCGCCCAGAGATGCTATCCTTCGCCGTGTCGCAATCATCGGTAATGAGACCGCTCGGCGCAGCTCGGCGCTGCCAACGACGCGGGGCGACGCGGTGCGTCCCCGCAGACTCATTCCGCGCCGTCTCTCTCGCACTCACGGGGCGTCCCGTAGGGATGCGAGAGAGACAGAGCGACGACTCTCGGAATCAGTCTGCAGCATCGCCGTCGACGCCGACCGCGGGGGCGGCGCGGCTCGCACTGCGCGCACTGCGGCGGGCAGGTGGGAAAGAAGCTGGTGCGTACGCTGCAGCCTGCAGCTTGGATTCGCTGGGCCGCGTTCGTCGCGCTGTCTCTCTCGCACCTGTGCGTCACGTCTCATGAGTGCGAGAGAGGCAGCCCTCGCGGCCCTCGGAATCCACAGCGGACACCGCACCGCCAGGCGGCGCGGCGTCGTCGGCGGCGGCGGGGAGCGCCGTGGCGGTAGGCAGCCCGTCGTGCGGCGCGGCCCGCCGGGACAGCTGCGTCGCCCCTACGGAGAGCTGAGGGGAGGGGAGGGGAGGGAAGGGCAGGAGAGGGGAGGGGAGGGAGAGCAAGGCCGTTGGGCCGCCACGCCGCGCCACGCCGCGCCACGCCGTCCGGGGCGTAACAGCTGAGAGTGGCCACTCCGCCACAAGGCTGAACCCGCAGCGCGGCCCGCAGCCAGCAGCCAGCGGCACCCACTGCCTGCACCGCGGTGGCCGCTGCGCCGCCAGGAGTCTCTCTCGCACTCATGGGGCGCCCCGTGTAGGTGTGAGAGAGACAGGGTGACGAGAACGACTCTCGGAAGCAGTCTGCAGTCAGCTGCAGCACACAGTGGGTCAGAAGACCGGCGAAGGCCTGGACGCGTTTTGAGCTCCCGAGTGACTGGAACCGAAAACGTGCGACCCCACCAATGGATTCCTCGTTCGGAGAGCAATCCATTGGTGGGGTCACACACGTTCGGTTCGAGTTCCATTTAGCGACCCTGGAGGTCAAAAGCCGTCCGGGACTTCGACCGCCTCCACCGGTCTTCTGGCCCACTGTGTGGCGGCGCGCATCCTTGCAACACGTCGTCCACGGCGACGACGCGGAAAGACTAAGGACGCGTGACGGCGCCGTTTTGACGAAAGGTCCGAGAGCAAAACGAAGAGCCGCCGCCGCCGACACGTTCGATACAACGACGACGACGACGTCGTCCAGGAAGCTCGCGCGGGGGACGTCACGAACTGGGTCATCCAGCACACACCACACCGTGCGGCATGGCGGCGTGGCGGCGTGCGCGCGGGCCACGCGGAGACTTGGGGGGTGGGGGTTCGAAACGAGCCAACAATGAACGTCGCAGCGCCGCAGCGCCGCAGCGGGGCGTCGCCGTTGTTCAAAGAGTCGCTCGGCGCAGCGAACATGCGAGTCACCCCGCTTCGCATGCTTCGTACCTGAATCTAGGTTACCGGGGTAGCCGAGATCGTAGAGGCGTCGATCGCCAACCCTCGGGTCTGCGGTTCAAGTCGCAGCGGCGCCGTTTTCGTTTTGTGGAAAACTTTCGGCTCTGTTTTCATTTTTCATACTGGTTTCGAACGAAGTTGAAATTCAGAAGGCTTAGTAATTGGCGGAGAGAATTGCTGCGATTGAGTCACACGGCTTGACCGCGAGCTGGTTTAATAGCTCAGTCTCTCGACGGGGAGGAGAGGAGAGGGGAGGGGGAGGGGGAGGGGAGAGAGAGAGGGAGAGAGAGAGAGAGAGAGAGAGAGAGAGGCGCGGATGGGACGGGCCTTTGCATGCGTCTGTCTCTGTCTGTCTCGGTCTCGCCAAGCTTCCGCGTTTCCCACGTGGTCCACGTGTGTGCAGTGGCGCGGACGCGCGCGGACGCCGTGCACTTGGGCTGGGTCGACGCTCCACGCGGCACGGCACGGCACGGCGCTATTCTGACCTTGCGCACGCAGGATGGCAAACGGCACGTGTGCTTCATTATTCGAAGGCTCAAACTAGCCGGGATTATCAGCAGACAGAGTCCGAGAGTCGTTTTCGTCGCTCCGTCTCTCTCGCACCTGTGCGGGACGGCCCATGAGTGCGAGACAGACAGAGCTACGAAACCGACTTTCGGTATCAGTCTGCAGTGCAGTGGTACCAACGCACTAATCCATCCTTCTGTGCCCCCAGCGAGAAGAGTAGAGCGTTACGGCCAGGAACCCGGACGCGCTTTGAGCTCTATAGTCGCTCAATGGGACTCACAACCGAACGTGTGACCGCACCAATGGATTGCTCTCTGAACGAGGAATCCATTGGTGGGGTCACACGGTCGGTTCGAGTCCAGCTTAGCGACTCTGGAGCTCAAAGCGCGTCTAGAGTTTTGGCCGCCTCCGCCGGCCTTCTGGCCCACTGTGCGGCGCGGTTTTATCGGTCACATCCTCTGGTTTGGCCACCCGTCCGTGTTGGGGTTCTTCGGGCCGCGCTGGCGGTAGCCCCGCCGCCTGCAGGTTGAGTCCTACAGTGGAGGGGGCGTTTCGCGTTTCGCCACCGCCGACTTGGCAGTGCGGCAGTGCCCGGCAGTGCCACGCTGTGGAAACACCCGGTTATGAGAATTAATTTGACTTGGCTCCATTGGCAGCACTGCACTGCAAGGGACTGCACACACGCTCGCCATTGTCAGCTCGCTCTGTCCCTCTCGCACTCATGGGGCGTCCCCGCAAGGCCGCGGGGGAGCGAGAGAGACAGAGAACGAGGCGCGGCAGGACAATGGGTGCAGCCCGATCGCCAGCAAAGCGAGCAAAGCGCTCCAAAGTGGGCTCCGGTCGGACACCGCGGACACCGCCTTGGAGGAGACGCTGACTTCCGCGAGAGCGACACGACACCGTGATTGTGAGGATGACCCGGCCATCCGTGCAACAGTCACAGTCCAGTTTTTATGCAATTGTCCGGAACCGTGCCGAGCCGGCACTGCAGACGGATTCCGGGAGTCGAACGTGTGACCCCGCCAATGGGTTCCTCGTTCGGAGAGACAACCAATTGGTGGGGTCACACGTTAGGTTCGAGTGGACTGTGGAGCTCAAAACGCGCGTCTAGAGTTTTGGTCGCCTGCGCCGGTCTTCTGGCCCACTGTGTTTGCACAATGGTCGCCGGTACTAAGTCACGCTGGGCATGCCGACGGCGTCCTTCACCTCCACACTGCACTTGTCAATGAGCTCCCAGCCGCCGGCCGGCCGGGCCGCGCACCCTGCCTAGCCAGACCGGACGGGTTGACGCGGG